ATTCATCACTATTGATAACATATCATTCTAAACAGCACTATCAACATTCTAAACAGGTTGAATCATGTCAGTAACAGACAATGATATTATCAAGAGGCTTCATCAGTATAATATATTTTAAACAGATGTTTAAGTATTTAAACTGTAAAAACAGTAATCCATTCATCTATATTAAATTAATCTTCAAAATGTTAATTTTAATAAAAATAAAACAATAAGTTGATGTATAATTTATACTTTAAAAGGCTAGGCATGTAAACACTTCTAGTGTTGACATCTACCTTATCAAAAGGAATAGCATCATTCATGCACTTAATCAAAACATGAAGACGATTTTTAAATAAATTTTTGCAATATTATCTGTAGAACTATTAGATGGTATAACTCTTGAGATATTAAAAAAAAAAATCGATAAATAATAACAGTCTATGACTAATACTCACAAAAGTCTCGTTCTCTGCATAATATATGAGAATAATCATATATTTTTGGATTGTACATGTTCCAACATTCTCTGCACATCAAATTAAAATTTAAAAATATAAATACACACGAACGAGCATACTTCTAAGTTAGTATCCACTAACCTCAATGAGAGGCTCCCCACTCTTATCAGAATGTGGTGCTCGTTTTGATAAATAAGAAAATTTTCAAATATTGTAGGAAATCTTGTATTAGATAAGCTATTCTTATTACGGTGTTTTTTTCGAGAACTTTAAATCTGCATTTTTTATTTTCTCATTAGCAGATTATTTGTATTTTGAATTGTTTTTTTTGAAAACACAAAGAATGCAAATATTTAATAAATTCCCTTTTGATAAGAACGATACAATTATTTAAAACAAAAGAACATTCTACAAACATTGGTAACATGAAAGCCTGAAATGTATGATCAACAATTTATAAATTTGTTCTATAGAAGGTTTTAAAGAGAAATTTTGTTTAATACAATTTGTTTATTCGAGTGTTAATATTTATTTTGCAAAACCTTCAATAACCATCAAACAAATAGTACAAAGAATTGAGATTCATTATCGTTGCTTCAAAGAAGAATTTCGGAATACATTCGTGGAATGATGTATGAACGTACATTAACGTAGCAGCAACCAGGGTCATTACTACAACTGTTAGGGGAAAAAAATATAAAATTTACAAATAATTTCAATAGTTGGAATTAAATTTCCCAACAATTCAAATAATTGGACCAAAGTTCTAAAACTAGTTCAATAAATGGGTGGGATACAATTCTACAATATAAATATTTAAAATGAAATCTTACAATCTCAATCATTTCAACCTCGTAACTTGATTTTATTTTTTAAAAAATATTATAATTTTCTTTACGTTTTTGGATTTGAACTTATCACTTACTTGTTGTGAATGTTGACTTATCAACTAAAAATTCGGTTTCTACTGTGAACTTACGAGAATCAATAAAACAGATATATCAATACTATGGTAGTTGAATCTAAATAAACGATTGTCTAGAAAGCCGAAATTTTAAATTATTACGATTTTGTTTTCTGAAATTGTAGAAAGAACATCACAACAATATAATGTACATGGGAGGGGGGGAGGGGAGGAGAGGATAGTCGGGACAAAATTTCATAGTTTGAATAAATGGGAACAAATTTTCCGGAAACTTAAATTGCAAAAATTACGATGTATATATTTGGTGAAATAACAATTTAATTTTTCAATTCATTTAGTTTTAAACTTTTCACTAACCTATCACTACCAATGTTGACATTTTACAATTTTCTTTTCCTATTACCCACAATATTGAATCGATGAAATCCGATTTTTTTAACTTAAAACATATTGGTATTAGTCTTAAAATTTTGTAATTATTTGAATCAATGTTTTGCCAAAATTTTCGTAGTTCAAAATGGTTTGTCGAATCTGAAATTACCCGACTTTTTAGATTTCAAAATATTGGGGGCTAGGGAGGAGTGACAGCTATGTACCTGAATAGGCTATGTACATCAACTTTATATTTAAACAACAAAGACAATGCCGGCCATAAGGGTAGGTGCCCGTTCCACGCAAGGCCGATGTCGCATAAACCTCCCACCCCTACCAAGATATTTTATTCCTCTCTTCTTCTTAAAAACAGTGCAAACGAAAGTATAATTTAAATATCTATAGATTATATAGAATAAAATATGCTGTGGTATGTTCCATGATTCCACTTGTCTTTAAACTTGAAACTTTTCATTTTGAAAATTCATAACCCCATAGAAATATGCTCCCCCTCAAAACTAGAAAATCCCGTCAAAATGTGCCCCCCTCATAAATTTTGAAGGCACAACTTTCGCCTCTCTCATAAATGTTATAATTTATAATTTTTCTCCCATAAACTCATACATTTTGAAACATCCTTCTGGACACCCCTGAAATAAATAATGGAGACTACTGCCCTGGGGCGCTCGCCAATTGTTAGAAATTTAAAAAAAAATACAAGTAATATTAAGATAATTAATTTTAGCCTATCAATAAAGCAATTGGGTAATCATCTAAATTATTAATAACACATTACTATTCTAATGAAAATCTATCAAATTCTGTATTATAAAAAAATACTACTCTGAGAACCTAGAGTGATATTGAAATCAAACCTACCCTGATGTTAAACTCCAGGAATCGGAATATGTTATAAATAATTTTAAAAAAAATAATTCTTGGCTTTAGAGGGTGGCGAAGTTATAAATAGACACACACATATGTTAAACCCTCTTTTCGAAGATGGTAAAAAAAAAAAATCAGAAAGAGAAATTTCCCTAAATTGAAGATGAATTTTGCTGTTTCTTTTATATCATACATTTTGTAAATAATAAAAAAACATTCAATGAGGTTAATAATGTGCTATTATTACTACTACTAGCCGTTGTGTGTGTTCTTATCACTATTACCAGGCCGCAGTAAAGCTTTTTTGACACCATCTTAACTTGCACGACCTCTAAGAGAAACCATATCCCAAGAATGGCACAGACGGTGGAAAACAGCGCATCAACCAAATTAAAGACAATAAGGAAAGAGGTGAAACAGTGGAGCAGCTCCAAACGCAGCAGTCGTAGAGATGAGGTCGTCCTCACGTGGCTGAGGATCGGACATACTAGGCTGACACACCAACACCTCATAACAGAAGATCTTGTCCCCAGACATCAATAGTGTGACCAGCCATTAACTATAAAACATGTTTTGGAAGAGTGCCCTTTTTACACCACAAGATTAAAAGATCACGGAATAGCCCAGAATACATCAGCATCCCTGGGAAATCAATACTAAAGTTAAGAAGTTCCTAGACAATAAAATACTTATAAAACAAATATGACAAGTTTATAACTAATGATCCTTTGAAGATTTATTCTTTTATTTTAAAAGTTCATTTATTTCTTTATTTCAATTAATTTATTGATTTTGTTGCTACTTTAAAAAGTTTATTTATTTATCTATTTTATCTTATTGTCTATTTTATCTTTTTTTTTTTTTTTATTCTATTTATTCTTTTATCTTTTTTTTATTTTTTGTACCAACCGTCTAAACAGTATGAAAGTAGTGTTATTTAGTAGATCGATCGCTGATGGCCTGTATGTTTTGCCCCTAGACATCGAAACAAAATACTACCAGCTCACAGAATATGTTAAGATGTATTTAGACATTTCACAAACTACGAGAAAAACAAGTATCTAACTTAACTAACAGTGACATTATTGCTAAACCAAACTATTCAATTTAGTTCTCTTGATACCGATATAATATGGAAATCCATTGTTCTATTGCAAATTGAGAAAAATAATTTGAAAAAGTAATTTAAAAAAACAATTTTTTTGATATTAGGATAATTTAGGACAAACTATAAACAAGTTTGTTTACAGATGCAGCTTAATGTATGAAGTTAAAAAGGAAAAATAATTGATGTTTATTTATTGCATTATAATATTTTACATACAGAACTATTTCCATGTAGGATAAATAAATAAAACCACATCACATAAACATATAGTTAAAGTGACTTTGGAATAAATATAATTATTAATAAAATTAATTTACAGCTTATTATTAAAATTAAAATTTTCTAAAAACAATGATCAGAAGAAACTGAAATTGAAATATACAGACAAAACTAGAATTAGGGTAAAAAAGGCCTCACCATTTAATAATTGATATATTGAATCAAAGAGTACCAAAGTAAAAAATAAAAAAAACATATATATATATCTACAGAATTTGTATTTGGAAAAAAAAAATGTAACAATCGAAAAGAGACATTTTTGTTTGATAATATGCAATCATATTCTTAGAATATATAAAAAACAATTATCAGTCTCTAATTTATACAAAATCTATACAAAAGGCAATAATATAAGTAATGCTAATTGTTTAAATTTTATCATACATCTAATCATAAAGTTAGGGATTTATTTACATAATTACATAAAAATAAATTATAAATTAAACATCTTCAGGAGGCAGTTTTTTATGAGGAAGTCCATAGGTTTTTCTGTACTCCTCATAACGTTTAAGATCCTAAAAATAAACCAAGGCTTAGTAATATTTATTTTTATTTTATCATCAAGAAGAGAAAAATAAATAAACATTGAGATAATCCACAAGAATAATAAAAAAAAATAAGACAAAAAATAATGCAATAAAAAAAAATTAAGTTTATGATTTGATAAATGTATATTTATATATTTAATAGATCATATATAAAATTTACATTTAGTAATGAAAATATTATATAAGATATAATCAAAGTAATTAAAGTAGATCTAAACATTAATGTTTATGCAAAACTCAAAAAAGTATTACTAAATCAAATCACTACTATCTCATTAATTCAAGGACTGCAGTAAAAAGAGGAGAGAAGGAATAAGCATTTGTTTTCCACCTTTTCAACAACAATGATAGATTTATTTGACCACATTATCTTGATGTTGCATAAGATAAGGCAGTAATCTAGAAAATTTACTTGAACCTTCATGAAACATGGAAAGTATACTAACTCACACCGATTTAAAAGAAGCGATAAAGAATAAATTTAAGTGCAGTGATTTTGAAATGGTAGAGTGGATATTTAAAAATGATTATCAATCTTCTGGATTTTATGGATTACCGCGTAAGGAATACGTAGCTTTAAAACTGGAGGAAGAGAAAGTAGTTGGTTTGCATATGTTTATTAGGCAAAGTCCTACTGCAAAAGGTTACCATGGTGAATTAATGGATAAGTTGTGTGTCTTTTCAAAAGAAGCAATAATGCATGATAATCTACTTAAGCAAATCAACACATATATTGATGGTAAGGTATATCCTGAATGCTACTTAGCAAGAAAGGACAAATTAATTGTTTTGGAAGACCTTAATGTATTGGGTTTTAAAAGCATTGGTATAACAAATTCGTTTGATCTAGATCAAATCGCATCAACACTCAAAACTTTAAGTAAATTACATGCAGGATCAATCATTTTTGAAGAATAAACTGGTAATAAATTGGATGAAACATATTTGGATGCATTAACTGAAACTTATTTTTTTCCTGATATCAATCATCCATAGTTTCACAATGGTTGTACTAGCATGAATGCTATTGAGGCTATAGTTGCTATTGAGGCTATACTCCTTCAGAGGTATATGAGAAAGCATATGATGTTCTACGTACACTACCTTACCGTGTAATTCCATCACGAAAATATCGAAATGTTCTCATGAATGGTTGTATAACAGCTGGTAATGTTCTTTTTAAAACAAATGAAGATAAAGGAGTCACTGAAAGTGTAATAACAAATTTTCAACAAGCGAGATATAACACACCTGCATTGGATGTTTTGCTAGCAATACTACTGACAACAAACAGTATGTTACGATCAAATAACTTTGAATCACTTTTAGTACATTATTACAATAACTTTTCCCGAGAGTTAACAGAACATGAGGTAGATCCAAAGGCTATCTTGACATGGGATCAGTTTAATGAGTGTACACGACGCATTGCCAACAGCTCAAGCGATGGCCATTATGTATCTTCATCTCCTTCTATTACCGATAGAGAGAATTTCACATATTATAAAATCAGATAAAGAGTGCCAAGAGTTTATTGAAAATGATAGAAGTGAAACAGTTTTGGAAGAAATGAGAAACAATAATACATATAGAAAAAGAATGATACAAGCAATCAGTGATATATTTGAATTAGTGAAGAGCAACAAAAAAATGATTTATAACTAACCTTAACTGAAACTGATGGCCTGATATTTTGAGCAGCCAGCTTGAGCATATTGGTGGAGACATGAAGATCACCTGTATCATTGTGGTTAATATATTCAGTAAGAGCAATAACCGAGGCCTCTTTCACCAAGGCAGCCAAGTCTGCTCCAGTGTATCCATCTAAAAGCGGATCTCTTCCAAATTGTTGGAGATCAACATCCTTCAATAGTGGTTTAGTGCCATTCTAAATGGAAATAATACTAATTAATAATTAAGCAAATATATGTAAAATGTAATAAATGAAAAACTATAATGAAGTTGTTTACATTTCCAGAAAGTAATGAGTAGAAATTAAAATAATACCAGATTAAATATCATTTCTGATATTCATCCTTTCCCTTATATTAAAATTTTGATTTTATTAGAAAATCTATGTTTGGTTAGAATAATAATAAGAGTTTAAATAAATAAATTTAAGTGATTAAAATGTGAAAGTTTTTCATTTGATTTAAATACTAATCAAACAGAAAATGATTGAAGGCTAACATTTATTTAAGTTATAAATAATTTTTAAAGGTAATAAACCAATAGGTCAATTACGCTTTGATGTCCAAATAACAAATGACATAAACAAAATAATGTAGTGCATATTCTCCAAAATTACTCAAAATCAGGTTTGAAGTATTTAATATATAATGTATCTGTATATATGAATAATATTCAATATCACTAAAAGTTGTTGGATCAAGGAAATTAACTTTTCAAATCAGCAATCTATAAATAGATTTTAAAAAATAAATATGTATTATCATTGTATGAAACAAAAGTTAAAAAAAAAATTGAAGTAAGAAAATTGTCACTGTTCCATCACAACTGTTTGTCCATGAATGACAAATACCTAAAAAACTGACAGATTGAGTTTGATCTTTTTGGTGATTAATAATAAACTATTGAATTGAAGACAGACATTGGTAGTTTTGCTATAACTGCTTTTTACAACTGTTGAACATTAAAATTACTGTAATAGTGTGTGGAAAAATGTTAAATAGAATTTATGCCTTTTTTCAAAATAAAATTCTGTGAATTGATTTAATTAAGGTGGTTACCATTATGCCATAACTATTCTGTGGAGAAACTAACAATTAAAAATAGTTGTATTATTAGAGATAAATGATTGGACAAAATTAATACAAAGCAATAAGTTTGGTTTTTTATTTTTAACTAAATAATGAATCAATAATAAAATTAACTAAAATAAGTAATAAAAAATATTCCTAAGGAAAAGTAATTTATAAACCGGAAGAGTTTGTTGAAATGTCCTTATTTCAAGACCAGTTAGACCAGTTTGAAAAATTCTTTGTGCCTTTAATAGAGGTTTGATCATTTAAATTATTGAGGAAGCAATGACAACTATATATGTATTGCTGAGAAAACCATTATATAATAAATTTATATATTGTTATATATAAAAAACAACAGAGAAGATGAACAAAAAATATTATTACACTAAAGTATTTTATCAAACAACATGGTTGTAGAAACATTTTTAGCATAAAACAACCAATGAAAACACTTTCTGTCAAGTCAGTTTTTTTTTGTGATCAATCCTATTGTTTGTCTACAGAAATTTCAGATGTTATTTACCCATTGTTATCTATGTTTATGGTATGTTTAAGACATAATAATATAAATTTAACCTGAACGAAAACGCAAGGCATAGTTAATAAACAGAAATAAATGTTTTGAATATCACTTTAAAGGATAAATATCTCATTCATAATATGACTTTGAGAAGAGTAATGCCAAAATTAATTGGGTGACAGGTAGTAATGGTGGTTGGCCCCAAAATGAATAAATTGTTTTGTTATAGACTAATTCTCAACATATAAAGTTTAAGAAAATCAGGAGCCTTCCTTAAAAAAACAATCATAAGGTAATAAATTAATTTACAATAATGTATTGTTTATATTAAAATAGTTTCTAAAAAGATACTGACTCATGTATTATATTATTAAATAAATTATATTCAAACAGAAGATTACCTTTGTAAGAGCTTTTAAAATATCAATTCGATCTTCAGCAGAAGGTAAGCCCACATACAAAATTTTATCAAGTCTTCCTGGTCTCAAAACTGCTAGATCAACCATATCAGGCCTATTAGTAGCAGCCATGAGGAAAACTCCTTTTCTGCCTTCAATACCATCCATTTCTGTTAGCACTTGATTAACAACTCTTGTATTATGACCCTATAACAATTAACAATCTTTAAAAAAGAAAGCTAAACATATTTAAACAAATAAAAATAGCAAAATATGTAACCTCTGAAGAAGCTGATCTTCTGGGACATAATGCATCTATTTCATCAAAGAATATGACACAAGGTTGAGAATTTTTGGCTCTTTGAAAGCACTGTCTAACAGCTCTTTCACTTTCACCAACATACTACCAACATGATAAAAACAAAAATGTATTAATTATTATTTCTTAAAGTAACATTCAGAAAGCTAAGTATATAAAGCATAAATACAACAAATAAATGTTAAGACTAACTGAATCTTAATTTACCATATTCAATAATTCAGGTCCTTTGACTGAAATAAAATTTATGTTAGCTTCATTAGCGACTGCTTTGGCAAGCAGAGTTTTACCACAACCAGGTGGACCACAAAGTAATATACCAGAAGGAGCTGTAATTCCTAATTTTTCAAATTCAGTGACATATTTTACAGGCATCTAAAAACAAAAGATATAGTTTAAAAAAAAAGAACAGTGAAAAATTCTACAAAAAATTCAACAGTCAACGCTCAACATTCCAATTGCAAACAAAATAACGATGCGATAATTTAGCGCATTATGAAGTATTGTCCTACAAATTCAAATGTGGTGTATGTGATATGTATGTCGGTTTATACTGTTGGAATATTCATGACGCGGTGTATGATATGATTTAAAATATAGCAGGGTGCATTTATTGATTTTTAGAATTATTTTGAATTTATTAAACCATGGAAAAAACACAACAGAAAAACAGTGTTATATCACAATATATGTGTTATATATATTCCGATTCATATAATCGATGTAACATATGATCTATATATTATTAATATTAATAAAATTACTTTTAACACTAGCTCCCTCCCCGAAGTATGTGCCTATGATACAAATAACCATCAGTTTTTATTTATTTATTTTTACTTTCACTTACCTATATATGTAATGTATAATGAGGGAAAGTATTGCGATCATGAAAATTTTCGAATATGAGTTTTCAATGAAAATATACATTTTGAGGTCCTCTAAGTCGAAATAACCAAATCTCACAAAATGTTGTAAGAAACTGATATTACATATTTAAGATAGGTATATGGCTGAGATGTTATAGCAACTTTTTCTTGGAAGTGGCACTTTATATCAACTATCTTACACATTTTTAAGATTTTCTCAAAAATGGCTCTTACAATTTTGATTAAACACAGTATATAAATTTATCATTAAGTGGTCCCTAAGATCAGCTAGGTGTTGTCAACATTGATGTCACTTTACAGAGACAGTTTTTAAATATTTTAAATACCTAATGTTCAATATGTTTTCTTCTAAAGTACCTTTAATTTGGTTTATTTAAAAAAATTAACTGTCTCTAATCCTCATTAACAATAAAAAAATGGCTGAATATATAGTGTGAAAGAATTTGTTAATTGGTTAAAAGAGAAAAAAGGAAAAATGTGTTTTTAGGTTGAAAATTAATTTGCGGAAATAACAGACAGAATGTATATGTATAATATATCACTGGAAAGCTAAGAATTTTACGAAGAACAATATCTCACATAGAAAGTGCTAAAAGGAAATGGAGAGTGACAAAATATTATAAATAATAATTTCTCAAAACTAATATTATTTAATGGAAACCACAAGTTTCCAAGGAAATGAATTGAAATTTCTTAACTAAATGTATGAAACATTTAAAATTATGTTTATGATTGAAAAAAAAAAGGTATATAATCCACCGAATCAAGGCAATGACATTGTAAAAAAAATTGACATTGTACTTGTGTGAAAGAAAAATTGGAATAAAAATAAAAATATTTCCTGGATGGGTAAAACATATGTTTATAACCTTAAATACATTTACTGTAGTTTAATAATTCTAGATCCAACATTATATCTAAACAATTAGTTACAGATCATCAACTTATTTTAAAAAAATCCCTTTGTGAAATCATATAAACACTTACAATCAGTGTTATATCGATGCTGTATTTAAAAGCAAGTAACTGTATTGTGGTCAATTTTCCAAGGGTAAAAATTAAGAATTTAAATACATGTAACAAGTGATACAGACGTAATTCCTATAATTTTTACTATATAGTACTATCCTTACTTATTCATAATTAAATACATATACTTCCAAATATCTCTTTGCCTAAAGAGCTCAGAGATTGGAGTTATGTGATTCAAATAGACTGATGCAGTTATAAGATTTTTATTGCCTACAATGGATATAATAAATAGGGTTTGTGTTATTTTGATGATCTTAATGAGTTTTTGTATTGATGAATATGACCGAAATTCAAAAATATATTGTTCAAGATTTAGCTCCATTAAAAAAGTGCTTCAAAAACTTCTTGTAATAGTCCAATTTTGTCAGACAAGACTGCTTTTCGAAGTAGAGCGGCAAGTAAAAGTTGTGTGTTGTGCACACCAGATTTTTTTGTCTATGTGGATATGTTTTGAGGAACTCCAAAGTTCTGCTCCGTATGTCCAAATAGTTTGTAGTATATGATGGTGTAGATTAGTCACTAAATTATCTTAATATACAATGAATTTACCATAATAGACTTCTGAAGCTCACTGCGGACATCTTTTAGGGATCCAATATCATCCCAAGTTACATCTGGAACTGTAGCAAAACCTTCTCTTTTGGCAGAAGGTTGTACTGATTTAAATGCTTTAGTGAAATCATCCATCTCGATAAATAGATTTTTAAGCTGTTCGTGGGTCAGAAGTGTTCCACTACATTTCAACAAACAACTAAAATCATCTACTTTGTCAGATTTCTTATTGCAAGACGTAGTAACATTATTATCATCGATAACCATTGGTGCTTCAACTATTTCACTATTCCTATCCAAAGTAGAAGTTGACTCAGGGGATATATTTATTTCACCGTTTGTTGAACAATGAGTCAAACGAATATTTTCTTTCTGCTGGATCAAAACTCTACAAAATAATATAACCCTAAATTAAATAAATAAAAAAAATAATATAAATTTAAAAAAATATATATTAACCTATTTACAGCAGCGATTGCAGCTTCAGACATCAGTGCCTTTAGGTCTGCACCAACAAATCCAGGAGAAGCTGCAGCAAGTATATCTAAATTTATATCTGGACTTAGTTTTATCCCAGAGGTAAGAACTTGAAGGATCTGTTTCCTAGCAGTTCTATCAGGTATACCCAAACAAACTTCTCTATCAAATCTTCCTGCTCTCCTCAGTGCTGGATCCAGAGCATCTGGTCGATTTGTAGCACCAATAATTATTACCTTGCTTCCACCTTCAACTTCACTGAGCCCTGAAAATAGAATAATAAAAAACATAGCTTATCATTCTTATCTCATACAAAAAAAGAAATATATTTATTCATCAAAATGACATAAGGATATCAAGAAATTTTTGAAGTAATTGTATTCATGTTTTGACAAAATATCAAACAATATGCTAAGGGTAAGAAAAAAATAATTAAACAATGAACATGACAGAACAATAACCCCTTTTTATTAGTTATAAGAAATACTATTAATTAAAAACCTATAAGGATATTTGTAACCATTTTCTTTTCTATGTCTAGTGTAAAAGGACATGTATTTGAGTATATGTCGTTTTTTACATTTGCTACATTTATGCATCTTTGCACAAATTAGGGTCATTTAGTGATAGAGTAGTACCAATCCATTCAATAGCTACATTGTGATAGAATGGTGTTGTTTTATGTGAGACCAACATTAAGTATAATGAATTTTCTCTTCAATGAGATAGTAACAATCCATTTCACCATTCAAATAATAAAGGTTTTTTTTTCTTTCTTAACTTTTATTATGGTATTTACAACTGTAATAGTATGAATACATCAAGTAAATGTGTACAGAGGAATATAATCACATGAAACACGCTTGTTGAGAAACCATCTATTGGTAGCACTCTAATAATTTGTCTACATGAGAAGATCACGAGGCCATCTTCTTTTCAGAAGCCTCTGAGGGTTATCAGGAATCGAAGAGGAAAGTTTATTTATGGAAGGATAGGTATCTGGATTTGGCCAAATCGGAAACATATGGAACATTGAGGTCTTTATGGATTATTTTATTTGAGACAAAGTAAGGAGCATTGAGGATTTTATGAAGGATTTTGGATTGTAAAGTATTTGATACGAGGATTGGATTTGTATATTGGATACAATAAGAATTTGATGGTTTAGTGGAGCCCCATAGCTCAACTCCATAAGTCCAAATAGGTCTTATTATAGTCATGTATATGAGTCGTTTGTAATTAATTCGAAGTTTAGAGCGTTTGTCCAGTAAGTGTTGGAGTAAGCGGAAACGTCGAGCAGTTTCTTGTCGTTTCAGTCTTGTATGAGGATTCCAAGTGAGACGTTTGTCCAGGTGGAGTCCTAGGTATCGGATTTGTTCTACAGGGATAAGTGGGGTGTTATTAAAGGATACTATAGGGCAGCAAGTCATTGGTTTACGACGAAGAGTAAAGGTGATTTGATGGGATTTATTGGAATTTATTTTAATCCTCCAGTTTTGACACCATTCTTCAAGGTTTGTGATGTGTGATTGAAGAGTTTGGGAGTACGCAACATCATTTTTGAAAGAATATTACTGTACAGTGGAGCCATTTGCTATTTCTGCCTGGGGTTTGGTGTCGCTGTCATTTAGAGGTCTCTTCTTCTCTCGGTTGCTATGCACATCTCTCAAGTCCACAGTTCTCCTGTATCTCTCGTGGTATCAGATTGATTGATACTGACTGTTTCTCTTCTTGAATCCAAGCTGAGTGTTGTCCCAGACTCTTGTTTTTCACTTATTTTCCAAGTTTCTTCCCATTCACTGAAGTTTTCGAAGCAGAGGGGATGACCATGGCTTAAGGCTGTACGGCCATTTCATATTTCTCAAAATTGTTTTGTCCCTTTCTCTCTGCCGCTATCTGTTTACCTTGGGTATGGTTTTGCAGGTGTGTGTTGTGTCAGTCATATTGTGCCTTAGGGTCCATTGCTCCTGACGAAGGGTGGCAAGCCCAGAGAGATCGCTAAGGTCGTCCAGGTAGATTTACCCAGGGTTACCTGTGTCTGTTCCATTGTATTTGTATTTATTTATATGAAATCTTTTAAATCTGGCCTCTTACGATATACAGCAGAATGTATGAAACCTTATTTTTTTAAATATTTTGAATGCTGAATTTTAACAACCCATGGAAGGAAAATGGTTACAGTACAGTTCATTTTGAAACCATAACTGCTGTCACACTTATCAGCAATAGATTACAAAACAGAAGTAATAATGAGTAATTTTCCAGTTAAAATTTAATCATGGTTAAATAGGTCTATGATCTTATAGATTAAAGATTATGTACTTGCCATCAATGCATGTAAGAAGTTGAGCAACAATTCGTCTTTCCATCTCTCTTCGAGCAACGTCTCTTGGAGGAGAGATAGCATCTATTTCATCAATGAAAAGTATACATGGAGCTCTGGCAACAGCAGAATCAAATAGCTCCCTTATTCTGGATTCTGATTCACCTGACACTCCAGCAACCAGTTCCGGGCCAGAAACTCTAACCAATGGTACTTTCAGTTCCTTAAAAAGATGAAAGAGGTAATGAAATCAAATTATAAACCAGAAAATGATGAAAATAAAAAAAAAGTTCAAAAACATTTTCCATAACAGCCAGTTAGACTATCAATTTGTTGTGTGCAAACGTATTGGTGTAAGTTGAAGGGCTTTCACTAGGACTAAGAAAAAACAAGAATAAATAAAGTAATGAAAATACATATAACATTGTATGTCTGCAGAAATATGAATTAGTATGGGATATAGAAATATACTAAAAGTATGAATACTTAGAACTATGGAAACTGAAACACGTAAAAATGTATAGAAAATAAAATATCAAAAATTCTACTGTATATTTTGTATAAAAATATGTTTTATTTTGTTTATTTGAAAAAGCAGTTTTGGTCATAACTAAATTTGATAACTGAAGCAATAAGAAAAGCCAAACAAGGAGAGAACTACAATAATATAGTACAGCTGCTCAAATGTGTTGAATTGCTTAATAACATAGCATACTCATCAATCAATAGATAATATTTTTAAAAATAAGAGAGGTCAGACCATTGGAATACATATCAAATATGTCAAGAAGGGTCTACAAAATCAAATAAGCGAAGGCCAAGATCAATATATGTGGTAATGGAGGATTCCTAACGAGTCTAAAATAATAGTTACAGTCATGGTCTCCATCTGCTCCATTCCAACACAGAACTCAGCAAGAAATTACTTGTATTAAGAGGGATACTTCCTCTGCTTCGGAATTATAGTTCTTTAACTTAGAATTCGCTCTTGCCGAATTGATATGTTTACTTTTTCTTCAGGTAAGGTATGCATTTCATATAAATTTGCTCTTTCTCTACCTGTATTTTGATGTCCTGATTCTGATCGTTGGTTTCAAATCTGATTGTGGAATCCGTTATTAGTGCCTCTTTTTCTGTGGCATTGAATTCTAAAATATCAATGAATCTTGTCAAGCTTTTGATATCCAATTAACATCGAAGAAACATTTATATTTTTTCATTTCAAGGAATTCAGCTATACAATGCTTTATATTATAGTGACAAGCATGTTATGTGGACAATAGCCCACACATGAGCTGGAGTTTCTGAGTCTCGACCACAATTGTGGCAGATGGGTCCAACATCTCCGTTAACCCAGCTTCTAGCCCTTGGCCCCAGATATTCCGCAGAGAAGAGAATAATTAACATTTAATTTCATGATGTTCAATCATTCTGAGCCGGTGAGAACTTTTCTATCACAAATGAATTTATTGGTTTACGTATTTTTTTTTTCACTTTTATTTTTCCACCCGCACATGTTAATTACATTTCTTAAGAATCAGCAGATGTGTTGGCTATATAATAATAATAATAAAAATAAATAAAATAAAGAGGCTTGATAAGCATGTGGAAAAGCAATAGCCGGCGGTACTCCTTCTGCAGTTTTAATTTACTCTCGTAATTACGTTAGTATGTCCCTCATCTAGACCCTTTTCAGTTGTCTTCTGGTATTCTCTGGTATAAAAGTTGTAGCTATTTCTTTTATTAGCTGGTTAGAGTGTCCTTTCAATTTATCATGGAATTGTTTGTAGTACTCTTATCATGGAATCGTTTGTATTCTTTGACAGTAAGGATGCGCAAGTCAGTATGTGAGATTTTGTTATTCATGTACCAGAGTGCTTGGATAATTAGTCATAGTATTTTAAAATGAAAAGTTTGAAGTTTTTTGTATGGGTCGGTTTTGCAATTCCGTATATTTGTAATCCTTAAATCCAGAGAGGTTTTAATAGGTATGTGTAAATATTTATTTTGTCTTGCTTTAGCCTCAGCCATCTCAGAAGGTTGGAATGATTGGTAGATTTGGAAATCATCGGAATATAGGTGGTAACAGGAGTGTTGAATGGTGTCAGGAAGGTCACTAATATAAATAGAGGTAAGGGTGGGATAGAGTGAGGAACCCTGAGGAACACCTTGTATTAGTTGAAGGGGAGATGATGGAGGTTTGCTCAGAATAAGAACTGTCTGAGATCGATTGGATAAGAAGAAGAGGAACCAATTGAGAACACTTTTTGATATGGGCAGGCTTTGGAGTTTGGAAAGAAGGATCTCATGATTGATGGAATCAAACGCTTTGGAAAAGTCAAAAAGGATTATGATGGAGATTTTCTGTTTATCTATGGCAGATTGGAGGTCTTTATGGATATATACCAACAGTTCTTTATGGATGCAAAACAAAGTAAGGGATGAGCAACACCTTAAGATTTTTGAAAATAAAGTATTGCATAGAATATTCGAACCGAAGAAGGATGCGTCAACCAGAGAATTTAGATGGTTACGCAATGCTGAATTGTGTGAACTGTACCTGGTTAATATAGTTGAAGTGATTACATTATGGCGAATAGAATGGGCGTGTAAAATTGTTGGGCTTAATAATGAAAGAATTCCTTAAAGATTAATATGTACTGTACCAACTGGTAAACGTCCGAGAGATAGATATAACTAAGATGGAAGAATTGTGTTAAGGCTGATTAAGCGGAACTGGGTTTGGATGGCCAATGGTGGAGGGAGATGTGTAAAAACCATTCGGTGGTGTCAGCATCACACTGTCAAGGTCAGGTTCACTAAGCATTTTATTATTTATTATTATTATTATTATTATAAACTCATTAAAGCTGTAGATAGACTAGATTCTCACCATCCATTAAGTCTTTCACGTTTCAGCATCTAAATTTGCTTAAGCTATTTGTATTATGAATTTTCTGTATAGACTAGGAGCAACCGACTATTTCATTTAACAAAAGGACTTAAAGCTAGTAGCCATTTTAAAAACACAAAACTTCGGTCAATCGGTCGAAAGCCATTGCTTTCTATACATAATTTAAATTAAAGAGTCGAAATTTGATGAACGAAAGAACATATCCCTGAAAATTTGAAATAATGTAAAAATATGTTCCTAAAAGAAAATTCATCTTGACTGATAATGTAATTGGTAATGTTTTGAAAAATGACGAGGTCAAAGCCATCAAATTTGTTATCGTAGACCCTAGATACCTAAACTTATCTAAGTGTTTGAACACATTCCCGTCAATACCGATATCGTCGAATCTAATGATTTTGTAAATCAGAATTATAATTGAATGTTTCCTTAAAAATAGATAATAGAGGTATTCATGCAACTAACCAGTGCTAAGTATTGTAAACCTCTTAAATGTGTAAAGTCGAGAAAATTATTTACAAAATGTGTGTTAAATATGGCTGCTATCTCGATTTTAGCACAGCCTGGGGTTCTATAAAGAGTTGCTAACTTCGTAAATGCATGAAGAAGGTTATTGTAAGGTTTTGATTCTTTGTTTTTTGTGTAACCTGTACTACTATAATCCATGAAGGGTCTTGGGTTCGGCACTAATTAGAGAAAGTACTGTTTCTCAGTTAACGGTTGTACAAGGAGGTGATTTGACTGAGATCACACTCAACCACCAGGTTTTTCCCCTTAACAAATTATTTCAATTAAGAGTACCCACTTTATAGAGGCTGGGTGTGCTCCAGGAGGGTCTCCCGATCCAAGGGTCGCTATACAGATGATGAAACAAAATAAATAATTTTTCTGCCATGAGTTGTGATTCGAAACCAGAACCTTGAGCATTGGACGATCAGTGCCCGACCACTGAGCTATCTCATTCTCTAAATATGCTATTTAGAATTAGTAACGAGATTAAAAACAGCAGATTTACATTTACATGAACTATATATAAGATAACTAATTTCACTTTGATCAGAAGTTTCTGGGAGAGACTATAAAGGAAAAAAAAAGACAATAATTAAGTAATTAGATTTGTGAACAGTCAAATATTGAAATCGAAATATGCGAGAAATGTTTATAAAAAATAATAATAAAATTATTTACAGTGGTTTTACAAATATTAAACTTACACCAGCAACAGCTTGTGCCAAAAGTGTTTTCCCACAACCTGGAGGCCCATGGAGAAGAAATCCCCTAGGTGGAGTTACACCAAGTTCTGTATAAATGTCCACTTCTTTTATGTGAATAACTAATTCACTTATATCCTGAAATTTAGAAATATAAAATTGCTTATTTGATAATAATCTTAAAAAATAAGCTAAAAATTAAAAGATATAAAAATTAAACAATTTTTATAAAATTTATTATTACAAATATAGTTTTACTTACTTGAAGAACCTTAGGAAAACCTCCAAAAGAGTCAAAAGTTACACTGGGTATAGGTGCAATGATTGTACCCTTTATTTTAGGCTTATTTGGATCTGGCGTGTAAGCATCAGCTGGAGAAGGTCTTTTGTTGATTTCAACAGGTGTAACTTTAACATTGGGCAGTTTAGTAAACTGAGCCATAACATGACTTCTCTTCTGAAAACAGGAATTATAAATATTTGAATATAATTTTAAATTACAATATATTTTATAAAATAGTGTCTTAACATTTTCCTTGTTTACAAGATTCAACACTTCTACACGGAAAACATAACATAAAAAATAATAATTTTATTAAATATATTTACCCGTCTTTTAAGGTTAGTTGGAATCTGACTTCTACCATTATCATTGGAATTTTTTTCATCCTTGTTACTGTAATATTAATAGTAATATTAATTATAGATAATATTAATGTTCTTGTTATAGGTAATATTAATTTTACTTAATATTAATTAATTCCTGCATTTCAGATGCACTACTGAAAAAAGTTTTCAGGTAGTCAATAAATTTTTTAAAAAATTGAGTAAATTTAAACTAAATTAAACCAGACTTACCCATTCTGCTTCATAAATATTTTTTGGATGGAATTTAAGTAAGGTGAGGAAGTAACCTGTAAAACAAAATAAGATAATATAAGTAATTTACATAGTAATACTTAACCATTCTTATTATAATTAAATAACAATCATTTAATAATAAGAATATCTATTTATGTGTTTGAGTTGCTGAGATTTTAAATAAAACAGCTGTTTTCAGAAAGTTACACATTGATCCAAAGCAGAGGCTATTCCAATTAATCAGCAAAATAAGTGAACATATGCAACACATAACATTCAACATTCAGAAGGCATTCTTATAACAGACTTTTGAAATATAATAGCAAAGCCAAGGTAATCCAAAACCATCTTACTTAGAAACCGTTGTTCCTCAATAAAAACATATAGTCCATCGTACAGGCCCCTTTTCAGCAAATTATTAACATCCGCTAAAAACTTCGTGAATAGCTTCATCTCATTGTAACCTACAACTATTTTATTTCAAAAACTCTTGAAATTGGGGTGTTTTCAATCTGAAGGTCGGAAAACTTTGTCTATTTAATTAGGTATTAAAAACTCGTAAATACCCATTTGCTTACCACTTAAATCATAAGATAATTTGATCACAAAATCTAGGAAAAAGGTGACCTTAAAAAATATTGAGCCGTTTGGTGTGACCTACAACCCCAAAATGTCAACATAATGAGGTAATATAGGCTAAATGGCCCAATATTTTTGTAGGGCACCTTTTCTCGATTTTGGGCTCAAATTATCTTACGATTCAAGAGGAAAACAAATAGGTGTTTACGAGTTTTTGGTACATAATTAAATAGACAAAGTTTGCCGATCTCCAGATTTAAAACACTCCAATCCCGAGTATTTTCATAAATAAAATACTAGTAGGTTACGATGAGATGAAACTATTTACGAAATTTCAGGCAGATGTTAATAATTTGATAAAAAGGGGCCTGTACCACGAACTAATAAGTCAACTTCTTCCTATAATATCAAATAATAAAAGTAATCAGAATTCAAACGAGGTGAAAAAAATAATTTGAATCAATCATAAAACATAAGAATTAGTATTAATAAAATAACATGAAAACAAATTTTTGTAATAACAAAAACCAATCCTAAAGAAGAAAGAGGAATAATCTCTAGGAAACTTGAGGAAACAGGAAAACTTTTTCAGAAAAACTAAACGAAGAAACAAAACTGGATTGATCTCAAAAAAGAAAATATAGTTGATAATGTACCAAGTGGAACAAAACTACACACTGGACATTGATTGAAAGCAGTTTGGCCTGTGATTTTCCCGAAAAACACCAGAAACAACAGGACAGGAAAAAAAGTAATCCACAAAAAAATAAGCATAGGATACAAGCACCGGGCTGAAGATTATTTCAGAATCTGACCACGTACCAACTGCTGCAAAGGAGCAATATCAGGGTTCAATTGCCTGTCCATATTGTTGAGGCAATCTTAGCAATAAGGACTGCAGTGAAAAAATATGGTGTGTGCATCACACAACTTTCACTCACCACTCTTCATGTAATAATTATTTTCTGAAAAAATTTAATGGAACCAAATCTTAAAGAACACATTTCTGAATTTTGATCATATTTATAGATGCAAAACCTAATTGCTAGTAGGCAATGAAAATCTCAGAACTCATTAGAGCCATTTTTTATAAAATCTATATCACATGGCATTTCTGGTGAACTGATTTTAGAGAAAAAGTTGCTGCAACATTTCAGGAATATACCATCTGCCTTAAATAACTAATTGAATTTCATACTTTTCATTTCTGAACTAGACTGCTCACATACACCCAGACACAGACCATTTTGTGGTACTTTGTTATTGGAAGTATGTATCAGTGTCTTTGAAAACTGAAATTCAAAATCTTTTATGATCAAAGTATTCACTCACGGAATATTAAATATTCACTTTACATTTGAATTACTAAATATTTCATATTCAGTTTATGTTATACAATATTCTAAACCAGGCACTCTGAGACTTACACCCTAATGTGTTCAGCCATCACATCCTCATATATATAAGGTAAGTAAATTAACAACTGAAGCAATCTAGCAGTTTAACTGTAGTTTATAATTTTTCTTACAGAGACATTCTGAGCTTCCAATCCAACTTCAACAGGACCATCTTCTTCATCATTATCATCAATATTGTCGATTTCTACTTCGGATTTAGAATTTTCAGAAGCTGAATTATTTTCATCTCTGCTTTCCATGATAATCCTGTAAGCTGATAAGGCAAACTTATAAATTTAAAATAAATGAATAAAATTATAATCCAAATATATTTTTTACTATAGTTAACATTTTATTTAACGACTAAATATTTAACTCACCACATATCTTATATCTATCTTGTTTAATCAACATATTAGATGAATTAAAATAAAGCGTGAGTTATATCTTTATAAATGAGAATTGGTTATTGTTCATAAAAATAAGAAAAATATTCATTAATTGTGTCCTGTGATCATATGTTTCATAGATAATTTCAATAGGACATACAATTATTTGGTTATAAGAAATACACCAAAGGAAAAATTAAATTATTATCTTTTTTGATGAACTCTAAAACAGCTGTTAGAAATGTTACAGCCCTCTTCAGGTGACCAAGAAGACTATTGTGATATTGCTTTTGTTTTATTTAGTAATGCTTAAATTGGTTCATTAATTTATTTTTGCATAATTAATAAGTACGGTTATAGCTAATGATGAAGTCCATTAAAAGTCTATTGTGATAGATAAAAAGAATGCTGAACATCTAAATTAAGAGCTTCAAAATTGTAAAACACTTGTGATGGTTCAACATGGTGACACAGGCTCATGAGTTCCCAAAGTTAATGCTGATTGGCGGAGATGTGGGCAATTTAGATTTTTTATTGTAACCCATTATTTATTTTTTTCATGACCTGTAAGTATTTATTTGAATTTGTTAGCACTATCATGGATAGGTTATAATGTTATTAATAAAATTGGATTCCTGAGCCTTATGATCTTACACCTTTGTAGCTCTTGATATTGAGTATCATTCCATGGATTGTGTGTGCATCAAAAATTAATGCATTGAAAATCATACAATTCAATCTTACACCACCTTGAATGAGCAATAAATGCCCCCCAAATAGTTAAATAAACTGGAGAACTCCAGATGTCCAGAATCCTGCATGGAAGGGGTAAAGATATTCATAACAGCTGTAGTAAATTACAATCAAACTTATATATATACTTTATTTTATATTAAATGTTTCCTTTAATGTATTTTTTTGAATTAATTCATAAAATGTTTAAATGGAAATATTACTTAAATAAATTATTAAAAATACTAGTCATATATTTTTTTTTTTTATGAAGATTAACATCCATATTTACAGTAAATGTAATAATTAAGTTGTATTTAATTTAATATCATATAATTATATATAATAACTTGACGTAAAGGTAAAATTTAATTAGTTTTAATTTACTGAAAACTTAGTGATATTAAAATAGAAATAATAGAAGGATCAAGGGTGTATTGACAAATTGCATTTTGAATGTGCAACGAAATAGATAAAAGTTCGATTAAAAAATGAAATGTGTGTGAAATTTAATAAAAAAGATCTATTATCATTTGCTGTTTTTTTCTTTTCTTTCCCTACCTAGCCTCCTCGGCTATACAGATTTTTTTCTGGACCAGGGGTGAGGAGGAGGAATTAATGCCATGGTTAAAAGCAACCGACTATCAGGTTGTAGAGCAACACATGTTTTGCTGACACTTTAAGCCCCGACAGCACCCCGCCCCTACTTCTTGTTTTACTTAATTACTGTTATTTCTTCTGAAAGTAACATAACCTCTTAAGTAATGTATTATTTTCATTTTACTCCTCACTCTGAATTTCCGAACTCATATTGTTTCTCAATTTAGAATTTTTATTTAGTTATTTTATTCATGATTTAGACCTCTTTTTTGTTTGCTAATATTGCAAGGTCTAAACAGTCAAGATTTAAATTCTAATATCTAGAGTAAGTCAGAATGTGGTAGGTTAAAACCACCAGTAACTGACAGTGAACCAATACCTCATCCACCCATCCGTCCATGGACATCCACTTCCAAAAATGATAATAAGATTCCAGGACCTCCTAGACCTTTATTACATACATTTTTAGTTTCTATGTTTTCTCTTTGTATATAGTCTGCTTTGTTTTAGTCTTGCTGAAAACTGTAACCGAAATAATGAGTGGCAAATTAGGAAGGTTCCATAAAAGGTTCCCTCAAGTTCCATAAACTGTGCTGAAGAACAACCATCTATTGTTAAGGCCATCATAACTTTAGGTTTTTCTTTTTCTCTTTAACAACTCCGATTTATCCCAAAATATTTGCTTCATTTTTTCTTATAGTCTTTTTAGATTGTGTTTTAACTTATTTTATGAAAAGGATGTGGAAATATAATGGGTGTCAACTACTGGAACTTTACATATAGCCTGTTGCCACTAGCTGAAAGGCCTGTCTTAGGCTGACTGTCCACCGAAAGCAGAGTTGAGCTGACTGTAGCTGAGTCAGCTTCCAAAACAAAATCAAAGGTTTTTAATGAAAGGCTGGCCACCAGATGCAGAGCTGAGCTGAACGCAGTTGAGTGGCGTTGCAAGAGGCAGCTCCACTTTGGCTCAACTGAGGTTCGGTTTTGATGCTACGCTTAACATTTTCTACATCTACTCACTGCTGCCTCACAACCGTGTAGCTTTGTTCCTTAGTGTCATCCTTTCTTTCTCCTTGTTCTCACTACACAACCTCTCAAATTATTTTATTTTGGTTCAGTGTAAAGTATAAAATTGATGTGGAAGAATTCTTAATCGAATGAGTAAGGGAAAATATTTGATTTTTCTTTTCAACTCCAACATGATCAACTTTGCTATTTTATTAAAATGTTATATATCGACAGCCACACTGCAAAAGACTGTAAGGACAATTTCTTTGGAAAATGATGTTTTGAGCTTTTCTGGTCAATCTTTTCCTGGCACAAATTCTGATCTGACAAAATGAATCTATGATGTTCCATTTCTTCTCTATATTCTTTTGTAAAAACCTGTAACCTAAAAAACAGCAAATTTTGTGGTAAAAAACTGTAAGTTACAGTGAAGATTATAGAGATTGTGTCATTACCGAAAAAACGTAATGAAATGCTCAATGAAAGGAGGTCATGTAAATACAGAATGTATAAAGCGTTTATACATTCTGTATTGACAATTCGCTTTAATAATAGGCTAAAATTAATTTTTCTCATACCCTTCTGAGCATTATTTTTTAAAATTTCTAATAAGTGGCGGGCACTTCCAGCCTGGTTTCCCTATTCTAAAGACAGCAATGCTTAACCTGGAACTAGAAGAAGAAGAGAGTGGTAAGTGGGAATATAATATTTAACCGCCTTAAAAACAATCAAAACCTGACAAGTGCAAAATGAGCTTGACTGGAAAAAAGCTAAAATGCCCCCAATTAATATTCATTAATTAGAAAATTTAACATGAGCTGAAAAAAGAAATCTAGTTTTATCTTTTCAAACCAATGAATCTCCAAAATCGCAAGAAGCTCAGACACAAACGAAGTGATCAACACATCAGCAGGTTACCTAGAACGTACCAAGCATTCGCGAATCAAACCATGTCCATAAGAAGTTGAATATGATAAAAAAGAAACTTTCAAAGACTGCTATAAAATGAGGTGCATGCACTCGGTTAGAGCTGCCCCTACAGTAAGAGACAAAAAAGTGAATAAGCTATCTGATCAAATACTCGCTTTCTAATCAAATACATTACAAATTATCATTTAAATGATCGTTTTTCTTCATTTCCGAAACTGACTTTCTTCCTGTCATGATATGACCATTATTAACAAAGTCATGGGTGTTATTACAATAAACTTGATTGCCTAACTAATATCTGTTTTTCAAAGTAACTAAAATGTGGTATAAGTTAGAAGTAATGGCTCGAAAAGATTATTTAGCAGAAATATGATAAAAAAAGTTACATAGAACATTACATTTCTGTCTTAGACCAATTTAACCAAGAATATACAGTTTTTTACGTCTCCTGAAAATTTTTAGTTTTTGTTCTTACAGGCTTTTGCAATGTGGCTGTCGATGTTATATATATATATATTTTTTAAATTTTATACGCAATATGAGAAGGATACCAATGCAAAGCAAGTTTCTGACTGAGCTGAGCAATCAGTTGCAGACCTCCTCTTGCTATGCTCAGCTCAGCTGCACTTTCGGTGGCTGGTTAGCCTTAGCTTAAATTCAAATATATACATAAACTGAATGTAACGAGTCTTAAAAATGGAAACATTCACTATTCTCTTGTTAAAAAATAATTGTTAGTGATGTGGTTTAATACAGAGCAAAGATATGTTATCCTTTTGATCAAAACAAATTCTTGACAATGTTCAGCCTTAACTGATAAATTTAAATTGGAAAACGCAAGAAGCTAGTCTTATAATAAGTTAAGAGTTAACTTTTGTTAATATCTATTTTAAAATGAAAAATATAAAATGTTAACACTTTATTTCGCATAATTACATTCTTATTTTCAACTTTGTTAACTGTAGGAACATTCTAGACCAAATTGTTACCAGTGTAACAGAACTATTTTATAAATTTACAAATTTTTTTTTTAAATTTAGGAGAATGTTTCATGGATTTTAAATGAGTCTTGGTAAGGTGAGAAGTATTTCTATAAGATGAATTCAGGATAAATAAAAGCCATGACATCAATATTTAAGTTTTTGCACATAAAAGTTCAAAGAACTGTTACTTATCAGTCATACTTATCAATGCTACTTGAACATTTACCCTAAATCAAAAATTTTGAAGCTCTCTAAAACATTCAAATGTAATTATGTATGGTATGGTTATTGTATAATAAAATGAGTAAAAAAATAAATAAAGGAAGCAGTCATTTTAAGATTTTTATTGTTGTTGCCGACGATTCAACCCAAGCAGGTGGGTCATCATCAAGGCATGTTTTCAGCACTGAAGGTGTTCAAGTACATAAATTGACCTGAACACCTTGAGTACTGGAAACGTGCCCTGATGATGACCCACACGCTTAGGTTGAAACATCCGCTACAACAATAAAAATCTTAAATGACTGCGTCTTATTTATCACCTATAAATGAAAAATATAACTAATTTTTTGATTATGTATATTATTTAACATAAGAAACCATATAAATAGTTTCATGGATACAATAAATTAAAGAGTATGAACATTGATGTTATAAGTGTTATTATAAGTACAGACAATTTCTGGTTATATGCAGGGTGCAGGATTGTTCCAAGTGACAAATTAAAAAAAAAATGGTCATGGTTGTTTGTCTCACTGGTCTCATTCCAGCCCATGTATTAGGATGAAATAGCAGCAACAAAGAGTATTTACAGGTTTAACTTGCTAAAGAAAAAGATAAAAGATATGACCTTTAAGGTTTTAAGAATTTGGATAGTAATTTTTATTGGACCATCATTAAAACCATCTTGAAGTTATAGAGAAAATTTTCAAGTTTAGAGAAAAATTCAAACTATGGTCAACTAACAGAAACAAATGGCCATGTAGAAGGTGCTGCCATATTAGCTAAATTAGTAAAAAATATTCATGGAGGAGAAAATATAGATGAAAATAATATCATTGATTTGATGAACTGTGATGCTCAACAATTCTGGTTTTGAGCACTTTACTTGTGAGAAAATATTTAAAAAAACAAAAACCAATAAAAAGTTATAAAAAGATGATGAAGGGGCTAAATCCATTTCCATTCATCTTTTTAGACTTACAAGTGCAATATATGAGTTGAAGCCATCAAGAAGGGTACTATACAACAAACATTGATCTATCAATAGATAGTTCAATAAATCTTGGATTAAAAGCTGTCTATTCACATATTTCTTATATATAAATTGAAAATATTATAAAAAATATTGAATAACTTAAAGAAAACAAAAGTTGATTATCTGAATTATTCTATCATGAAGCATTAAAAGGGAAAGGATTTTTTTTAATCCGCAAATGCGACAGAGCCAGAAACACAAGCACATGTACTTGGAAAATGCCCCAACAACTCCCTCCTTATAACACGCCGTCACCACAGAGTCAAACATGAACTGATGAGGCTACTTAAAGAGAGAGATTACACCTGTTTCGAGGAAGTATATTGTATAGATACGAGTGGATCCACCCAATATGCCGACATAGTAACATTTCCTAAGACGGGAAAGTCGGTGATGATTTTGGATCCTATCGTGAGGTATTAGACCAATGACCTCGATCAGGCAGGCAAAGTGGAAAGAGAGAAAAAAAAGACCTATGAGAAATGCATCCCTTTCCTTAGTGAAGTTCAGTGAGAGTTTCGGCTCGAGAGAGTACCACGTGAGAGGCCTTTGGTTCGGAGCTCGCGGAACGATACCAAACTCAACAAGGAGTTTCATGGAGGGCCTTGGTGTCGACATAAAGGACGTGGCAAGGTTGGCGGAGAATATAATCCTTGACTCTCTGGGAATTATCCATCACCATGTTCATGGATAGAGAGAGAGTTTGTTCATGGAGAGAGGCATGCATGTTTTAGAGCATTTTTACATTATTTATTGACCACGTCCACTGCATTTTATGTATTTGTATGCATTTTATGAATTAGGTTGGGAAGAGACAGGAGAGAATCTAGGGAATGAGAAAAATGTATAAGGGGAGAGAAGGAAGAGAAAGGGATATATAATGCTAATAAATGAATGAAAGAAATAGTTTAAAAAAAAAAAAAAAAAATATATATATATATATATATATATATAGAGAGAGAGAGAGAGAGAAAATATGTATATATAAAAAAAATAATTGTATACTATGCTCATACATATTGTTAATACTATATAATTGTATATTAGTTTTGGAAAATTGTCTGTAGTGATTAATAAGTATGCTGTGGTTAAAGCAACCCAATGTAATTGGACAGCACCCTTTTATAATAATAAAGTGATTCTCTCTCTCTCTCTCTCTCTCTCTCTCTCTCTCTATTTCTTAGACTGAAGATGGTAATTTGAAGAGAGCTATTGTGAAAGGTTTGAAACAAGCTGAATGAGGGAAAATGTATAAATGAGTTCAATATTCTATTACTCGCTACCTTTATTAACCTCTTTTGTAACATATGTAATAATATTGTATATTTAATTATAGTTCACCGATGGGTTTGGGATCAATCATGATTAATAGATGACCAGCCAGGGGTGAACTCCAGTTAAAACTCGCATTTCGTTCTTCATTAATCTGTGTTATTACTTACAAATATATATAATTAAAAACATATTCTGAAATATATCATAATTTTGTAATGTGTGTATTTAGATATATATATTTTTTAAGTAATGCCAGAGGGTTAGGGCATAAACAAAATGTTAGATTCAACTTTTCAATTTCAACTTAGTTCCACATGGGTTTGTCCTCATGCTGTCAACTAATCATAGTCGAGCTGTAGTATTATTGACATTTATTAGGTTTCCCAATTTGAGTTTTGACAGTCATACATTGTGTAGAATTTATACTCAATAATATTAAATGAATAATTATCTCAAAACAGCCAAAAGATGACATTATTATTATGTTTGCAGGCTCATGGATTCATGTTGTTTATAGGCTACATATAAATCAAGCATAACTTGAAATATAATGAAAACAGTTTTAACTGCTTAAAATTATAAACAAAAAGGATTGTAAATATTAAGTTCTATTTAAACCACACATAGTAAATAGGTACATACCCCTTTTAACCATTCCTTTAAAAGCACTTTTTTGTCTTCTACCATACTCTTTAAATTTCAGTCTAAGGTCTTCAACCATAGAATCAGTGTCTATTCTTTCAGGGTCCTCAAAGGTTTCAATATACTACAAAATATTGGAAATACATGAAATTATTTATACATAATTATATAAAAGCAAAAGAAAAAATCATAAAATAATCTTATATTTAAACAATAAAATAATATACCTGTTGAACTCTACGAAATAATAGTGAATCGTTAACATAAGGATATTTTTCCTTATTAGTAGGGGTTGCATTAGGATTAATATTCATTTTTTTAGTATTTAAATATTCACAAAAAAAAATTGAAACACAAAATGATATATATATTAAAATCGTCTATAATCGATTAAAAAGAGGAGGGTTAATTGCAAGAATTATTAGTTATTCATTATGATTGTTTCACACAGAGAAACCAAGCAAACCTACAAGCCATAACCTAACGACTGTTATATTTTAACCTTCTCATAAACAAGGACACAGCGCCAGCTCAATCAGATTAATCTAGATAAATATAAATAATTAATTCTGAATAACATTTGAAGTGTAGTTTATTTACTATCACAAAATTAGTTGTAAAGAATTAAAAAACGTAGCGATTTGAATGCTAAAATTATTTGAAGTTGGTTTCGATGTTCAGTTAAACAAAAAAAAAAAAGTAAAAATAAATAATTTTAAAAAAGTACTTTTTACCTACATATTATTACTTTTACCATCTACTAGTTTCTTATATTTATGTTATCTTGTCTTTTCTTAGCCCTGATGAAGACCTGAAACTTGGGCTGAAACGTAGGCAAAGAAAAGTAAATATAATTTATTTATTTTTACTTTTTTCTTTGTTTGACTGAACATCCTAACCAACTTCTCTTCAATATATCGACGACAGACAATTATTAATCCACTATCAGAAAAAAAATATATATTTTCATTAGTTTCCAGTTGCTTATCTATTTACTCAGTATACTACATTACTATTACAATAATAATCATAGGAATTCTTATTCAAGGAAGCCATTGATGCCAAATGGCATAGACATGAAATTTAATAAGTGGTATTTCTTTATATATGTATTTTATATATACGATTTTATTATATATGTACTTTATATATATACGATCAATGAACGCTAATTTTGACCGTTATTGTCAAAATCTGAGAAAGATTAATATAAATGGTCCTGCAGTTTGAAAATGAGTTCTCTAAGAAAAAAATTTAGAATAATTTCCGATTCCGATCAGTTCCGAGACCAAACAGTTCGTACATTCCTTCATGAAAACGTTCCCAACAGCGGTTATTTTAATAAAAGAACAACAAATTCTTTCTACCATAACACTGAACCCCTACGACCAATCAATCGGAAATATACAAATTATCATCGTGACCAGCTTTATGAATCGCATGGATTCTTCAAGGAGACTACAGTTGCTGAAGGTGGCAAAGCATCCAGATCTATTGGAACTGAGTAAAAACTGGGTCCGGAAGAAAACCCGTATTTTCTTATGCTCCAATAAAAGGTTGTTCGAAAAAATAGATGAAGTTCATTTTTTTAAATAAATTTTCCTCCATTATGTATTTCACCTGCGAAATATATTTCAGTTCGGAGTTAACAGGAACCAACTGCGAAAGGAGCACAAGCCTTCCCATCTCACGGCGGCCCAAAAACTACATCACTCTTTTCTTTAAATAGCTGTTTTTTGGATCTTTTTTTTCCGAATTTTTTTCTAACATGCAGAGAGGTACGCGCTCCTAAATCACTAGTGCTGGTCACGATAATCATTTTTTTAAATACAACTTTAGGAAATTCGTGTATGAGGATGAATTTTCTCTACATTTCTCTTTTCTTTTAGTAGCTGCTTTTTGGAATTTTTTTCCAGCCTCCAGGGAGGGAGGCGCGCCTCCCCGGTTGGATCTGCTGGTGGTTTGGCTGGAGTTAAGCCATTAAGAACTGAGAGACTCTGTATATATAAAATACATATGTATATCAAGACACTAGCGGATCCAGGATTTAATTTTGGGAGGCTTCAGTCCGAAACCTTTTTTTTTCATAAAAATAACGGTAATCACTTTGGAAAAACAGAAAGAAACTAACTACCTGTATGAAATGGTGTTTAAGTTATTCCTTAAGTACTTTTAAATGTAATTACACTAACAATAATACTTTAAGAGATATCTTTTAAATTTTTTTTCCCATAAAACATGGTTATATTTTTCCATTTTGGGAGGGGCTTCAGCCCGAAAGCCCCCCCGTAGATCCGCCCGTGTATCAAGATGCCTTCCAAAATGACTTTACTGAAATAGAATGAAATATTGCAATAAGGGAACAGTTCTATTGCAGCTCAAATATTTCCGATCTTTTTAGATGTAAGAAACCAATTAAAAAATTTATAGTTTGTTGTGTATATTTCTGAAAATTATTGATTATTGCAACAATAATTAAAAAGGTTTGGAACAAATCAAGGGGCCGATTTTGGAATAAGAAAAGGTTGTTTGGAATTTAGCTAGGAAAGTAAAAATGGAGAAAAACAAACAAAAAACATTATTTGAAAAAAAACATCTTTCACTTTTAATAATGAAACAATAATGTCAATTTATTTAATTTTAATTTTATTTATTTACTTCAGAAAAAATAATATATAAATTTTCACTTCAAAAATATCTTTCAATTACAAAATCAATTTATTTAAGAAATCATTATATAAACAGGCAAAAACAAAACGGTTCGGCCCCTTTTTCTCATCTATTATTCAACCGATTTTCTTCCTTTTTTTTTTTTTTTTTTGTTTAATAGCTATTGACGAGCTTTAGTGTTATCAATAAATAAAAATATGAAATAGTATGTAAATAAAAATATAAATGGTAGTTTCTTTAGAACAGCTAATCTCTGAAAGGTCTTCACCGATTTATTTGAAATTTTGACACAACGTCGCAATAATATTTAGAAGTGTTTTTATATACGTTTCATTGCCATCAATCAGGCCTTTCCTTTCGAAATGGCGGCCGAAAAAAGTGATTCGCTTTAGACTGTAGCGCCAACAGGGCTTCAAAGATTTTAATGAAACTTGACTAAAGTCTTCCACTTGAAACATTTATAATTTATGTATATAACATACTTTACCGAAAACAAGCTGCATACATTTTTAATCCTGGCTATTTTCTTCAAAATTAATTTGGATTATCTTTCCAAATTCCTCCCAATATCTTGTCATTGCTTCCTTGGCCATGTTTCTCAATCTGACTATTTATCACAATAAGCTTAGGATTTATTCCGCCTGTATAGAGAGTGGAGTAGCTCAGTGGTAGGGCACTCAGCTTCCAATGCTCAAGGTTTCAGATTCGAATTCTGGCTCTTGGCAGACAAATTGATTATTCTGTTTCATTGGCCGTGGGGTGAAGACCATCCTTTTTGGTCATGCCCAGCCTATATAAAGTGGGCCCCCTTAATTAAATAATTGATTAAGGGGAAAAACCTGGCAGTTGAGCGTGATCCTGGCCCGATCCCCTCCATGCACAACCATTGGCCTTGAAACAGTACTTTTCCTAAGTAGTACTGAACCCAAGACCCTTCATGGGTTGTTGTGGTGCAGGTATTTTTTTTTTTTTTTTTTTTGTATAGACTCAAATATCTACCCTCCCCACTTTACTATGAACACAAAATAGGCGCAGTTTGAAATGAAATCAACTTGCCATATGGGAACATTATAAAATAAAATAAAATATTTTTCAATGCTTTTATTATGAATTAACATATTTTCGTTTATTTATTTATATTTTCTATTTAAATCTTTTAAATTATCTTTATTTAAATCTTTTAAATAAACTTTTTGTAGTTTATTTCTACTCACATACTATAAATAAAACAAAACAATTTATTTTCTATATGCAGCTGTGATCCATAGACGTTCTTATATTCAATAGGTATAATACTTTTATATAGGGTTAAGAGAAAAAGAGATGGCAGTTATGGTTTAGATGCTGGCCAATAAAGATAATCCTTGGTCAAGAAACAGCAACTCCTCATGAAGGACAGTTTACCCTTCATAACATAAATTTTTTAGAATATTCTTGTTTGAGTAATTGTTATTTAACAGGTATTGTTGATATATCTGAGAAAGCTGTATTACTATAACCCATGAAGGGCTTTGGATTCAGTATTTTTTAAAGTAGTCTTTCAAGGTTTATTTGAATTGATATGTTCTTCCTCTTAATTAATAAAGGTATCCACTTTATAGAAAGGTTGTCTGTGCCCCAGTAGGGCTTCCGGCCAAAGGGATGTCTTATGTAACTAGGTCCTGGAGAATAATAGCACATTTCCTAACCCACAGAGCAATCTCACTTAAAGAAAAATTAATAAAAAGAAATTTCAAGAGAGAGTAAAACAATGTATTTTTGAAATAAAGCTAATAAAAATTTAACTCTTTATGTATGAACACTAGGATGCCTGTCCAATAACCAGCACTGCTTGTCCTTTCAAAAGTGTAATCATTTTTATTTTTAAATAACTCCTATTTTCAGGTACCATTTTTAAAAAATAATTATAGTATAGAATCAAATTAATAATAATAGGTAACAGTTATAACAGCAGACCTGGGTAAATTATTATTTAAAATACAGGATGGTCTTGATAATCCAAACGCATAGATCGCATGGTCTGTATGGATTATCGAAGGTTACTTTTAAAATTATGAAAAAATTGTACTAGGTAATGAAAATATATGTTATATCAATTAAATATTAAAGCACTGCAAACTAAAAAATTATTTGTGAAAGTGATCATATAAAGTGCGCTGAATCTCTAATTTTGTAACTAAAGAAAACGCCAGATTTCTTTCATGAATTTCCTAAAAGTACAAGGCTTCAGTAGTCGATGTTGTATTCATTCGCCCATTCCAAGCAAGTATTAAATGCCTTTAAGGCGTTTCTATGACTTAACTCTCATGAAAAATAAAATGATTGTTAAGAAATTTTATCGTAAAATTAAAATCATGCTTTTTAAATTATCAAGTAAACTTTTACGGCTGTTAAAATCTGCTGTCATCCTTCTTAAAAAAGTTATTAAAGAAAAACATTGCCTTTTCAGCCAATATATCCCCGGAAATTGGACACCCTCATTATATTTCATGCAAAATCCACATATAAATTCTCAACGTATTGATGTCCCAGTTTTAATGCCCCTTTAGAGACACCACAATTCAGTTTTGCCTCTACGACGCGAAGCAATATCAGCAAAATGTACTGAGAAACAGAGCCATTTGCATTCTGTCTCTCGTCAGTCAATGTTTAATCTTTTTCCTTTCTTGTTCTAATTATCGAGTCCATTCTGTACCAAGTACTCTGTTTTTCAAATATAGTATATTTTAATCAATAAGTATTTAAAATGTTTAAACCTTAGACTGTGGATGGGATACATGTCTTCCCAGTAGTGAAATGGTCACTAGTGCAGCAAGGATATATGCCTTCCCGCCTCAGCGATCACAACATATAGGGGCAAGTCCTGCCTTTACAATTTACAATAATAATTTACACAATTTCACTTGTGGCTTGGTCGGTGCATTCATTACTCCCCTGTACCTAAATCAGTGCAGTCATTCCTGATTCTGACGATTTGGAAGCTATCAGTTGTAGACTTATTCGGAACCCAAAGCAAGTCCTTTCTCTGTTATTTGTGTCATATCCATGATCTTATTTATATTCTACTTAAATATTTTATTCATAACATAAATGTTAATAAGTTAACTTTATGATTTTTTCTTTAATTTTGGTTTTGACTAAATGCTGATTTTGGTACACGTGAAACTCTTTCTACTAAATAAAAAAAATGTAAGTTCCTACATTTGTTATATATATATATATATAGTTAAATTAAAATGTAATAATAAATGTAAAAATATTCAGAATTAAAATGATGCTTTAGCTGTTTCATCATTTTTTCATCCACCTAAAAACAGTATGTACATATATATTTCATATAATATCAAAGTGTTTTAAATTCAAAATAAATGTAAGTGCAATAATAAAATTTATAACTGTGCTATTTTCAAAATGGAACTTTTTTTAGGTAAGATAAAAATTTATAAGTACAAAGAAATATATAATTCAAATTCTGCTGTCGGTGTCCTTTTTTTAGAAATAATATAATTTAATTTTGATGATCACTTAAAGTTATTTTTGTGATAATTTTAAGTTATTTTGTTTTTCAGGAATGAGCAAATACGCAAGAAGTGTTGTGGGTTTGCCGCTCTAATTTTGCATTGCTATGTGCGGTTGGGAAGGTATATAACCTATTTTTTAAAAGTTGATTAAAAACATTAAAATGCATTTTTGAAAGCTAAGATCTATCAAAGCTAAGATGAATCATAGTAACAGTTTAAACAAATTTATGCAAAAAAAATTTGTTTTTTGACGTCTTTGTGGATTTTAGGATGCAACGTGTGGTAGAAACTCAGGAATGAGCTCCCTCAGTCAAAGGGTTAAAAAAAAAAATGAAATCAAATAGGCAGAGAAGAAATAAAGTTAGGAAGAGGAAGAAAAATAAAAACAAAATGTTTGTGAGCAGTTTTATTAATGATTACCTTTGCAAAAATAAATTTACTAACTATTTCTTTATTTATGGTACATTTTCAGTTGTGCCTTTCATAAAAGGACATTACTTAGCTTTTCCTTGGTTAGCAACCTCTTCCATTGCTTTCTTAACAGTTTCTTCATCACCAAGAAATTTCATAGACACAACAGGTCTCATGCATTCATCAAATTCATACTGAAATGGTATTCCAGTTGGTAGATTGAGAGCCATTATATCATCATCAGATATATCTAGAATAAAAACAGTTATCATATAAAGTATCATGATGACTCACACAGAGAAATAACACAGATTTTATTATTAAAATAATTTTCTAAAGAATTAAATCTGATACCACTTTTAAAATGATATTAGTTAAGTAGAAATAGAAAAGCCACGCTTAGCCATTGACAGTGCGGAAACTAGGGAGAAGCAAAGGGAGCAACTACCCTGGTGGATGGAGGGGAGAGGCGGAAAAAATTACAAGGCAACAAATTACAGCATTTTTTTTTATAGCTGAAGTAAAAAATATTTTTTTCTACTTTAGTTATTTTGGGCTTAATTTAGTCCATAAAACAATATAATATTATGAGATGACACTTGTAATGAAATGTATTTTTTAAAATAGTGATATATATAGTCGATTTATATTGAGAGGATGGCGGAATGTGAAAGGAGCAGCAAAATGTAAACTGAGCCTTTTGTAACTTGCAAGTCTACCTCTGTGAATGAGTGTGTGTATGTGTGTGTGTATGGATTTGTACTTGTTCCTGTTTGTGTTTGTGTAAAAAGAAATGAATATGAAAGTATAGGTAACAAAGAAAACTTAAAAAATATTTAGGACAGAATATTAAGTTTATTTTGGGACTAGGTCCCTTAAGAATAATAAAAAGCACAACTGAAAAGAAAACATAACTGGCTATAGTCTATAACTTATTAAAATTTAATGAGTGTATCAAAAGCTAAATTGCAAAAGACTTGAAGTGAAAAAAACTAAAATTATTCATAACATTAAATAAGCCATACATTTTTTATTCTATGAATTAAATTTTCTGTCCAATTTTCACTAGATAATTTAACTCATTTAATGTTTTAAATAAGTTTTTGGTAGGTAATTTATTTTATTTACAGGTTTTGGCAGATTGGCTATATTGACATTATTAAGAGTAAAAATTTATAATGGCTATTTCAACAAATCCGGCAGAGGAAGTTTTTTGATTTCATTAAGGGGACATTTTTTTTTTTAAATTTATTTATTGAAGACTAGAACATTCTGTCACTTGGACATCAGTTGTAGTGAGGTAAGATCACATTCAAACTATAAAAATATAAAATAAATAAAAGCAAAATAATAATCAAAAAGTAAAGAAGAAAATAAGGCTATTATGAGAGATGGGAGTAAAATACAAATTATCACACTAAAATGATAGCTTTAAATTTCTGTTTCTTTACATAAGAAGAATGATTTGTTATTATTCTTATGATATACTCTGCATTTCAATTTTACCCATTCTCCTCTAGCTTTAGACAGCCATTTAATAAATGATTCATAGAACCGAGTTGATATCAAAATAGCTGTTTTTCAATAGCTAATGATATTGAGTTTTATACAACATTGCTTTATTTGAATTAATTTCTATCTTTTAAAATTTATTTTCCAATTCTAATGTTAATTGTTTCCTGAAAAAAGGAATTCCATTTATTTTACTTATAAAAATCAATAAGTTTTTTCCATTATTATTGCCACAATGGCTTATTATAATAATCCTAAAGGCACATTTTGGTGTGAGCAAGCTCTCACGTCATCAAAGTGAGTCACATATATGTTGCTCTTTAAACATTCACACATCACTTAAAATGACTTTTTAACTGAATTCCTTTGTTCGCTACACTATTTGCCTTAAGTATAATAAATATAAAAAAAATGTGTATGATCTAAATCTTCTTATAAATTGTGGGTGAAATCGGTTCATTAGGATTTGTCATCATAATAAATCAATATTTCAAGTGAGCAAGTAATTAAAATATAAATATTATTCATTTTCTACCACCAGCACAGTTTGAATTTTTACTTGTTTTTCTTGTTTAAAATGAACTATTTTACAACTTATCCACAATCTTTATTTTAATCTTAATCACTTAGGATTAATGAAAAAATAAAATAAAATAAAAAATTCATTCTGTTTATCAATCTGGATTTAGTGTTAATTTAATCATTTAGCCAGTCCACTAGAGAGGTTTTGCAAAACGTTGATGATATACTGGTGAAGAACTCTTTCAGAGTTAGACAATAGACTTGATCGCTCTAACAGCAAGATTATCATTGTAGGCTTATCAAAATACTTGGAAACAGGTACTGCTCAGTACACTTACAGAGGAGGCCGAGTTCAAAAAATTAACATTCAAGATATTTGAAAATCCAGTCAAACAGGTAAGGTAAGGTTCCAGCTATTGGTGGTAGGAACTTGTCCAGCAAGTAGGACTTCTGGTCCTTATAGCCAATCCTGATGGCTACCTAGAGGTTGAAATCGCATACTAACCAGCCCTAATGAGTTTTTATCATAAACCGATAAAATAAACTAATCAACAGCCATATTAAAAAAAAATGCTGCAAATTATTTGACAATGGTTTATTATTTCCAAACAATTTAACATAAAAATTAACAATACTTTCCATGTAAAATAAATAAAAGGTGATCCCTAATATTGGCATAAATTTTTTTTTTCATCATTGATAATTTGTAAAACAAAAATATGTATAAGCTTTGTGGTGACATATGAAAAATATTTTGAACACCATATTTTTGTATCGAATTCAACGTTTTGCGAAACATAAAATCTCATATTTCAAGGGGGAGAGTGGTTAAATTTTTGGGAAGATTAGCATTCTTGAAAAAATTCTTAAAAGCTGCAATATCATTACTAGTAATGCTCTGATTTCAATGAAACTTTTTTGTTTTTTAAGAAATTCAAATACCTTTGAAACACCTGATTATAAAAATCCCCAAAAAATATATACTTCTTGAGTTATTCGGAAATCTAATTTTACCAACCCATGTAACTTTTTCCCCAGCTTCTTTTAATTGAAGTATGTTATGTAAATAAATTTAAAGGGCATCAAGGAGAAGACTATAGACAAGTTTCATTGAAATTGGTACATTCGTTTAGGCACTAATCTATACCAACACAGGTTTTTAGGTCACTATCTTGGAAGGTGAGGGCGGATAATAATGTCGACGTAGAGGGATCAACCTCGGGTGATTTTTTACTTTGATTCCAAATTTTAAAACAAATGGTAGAGTGGTCTCGGAGAAAAGCTGCAGATGGTGGATGGACAAAATTTTATTTTATTCAATTTTCAAATTCTACATATCGTAAAACTTCAAATTTTAAGGGGGGGGGAGTTAAAATTTTGAATTTTTTGGACTATTACAATGGCTCATTAATGAAAATAATAAACCAAAATCTGGTTATAAATTAATTACATCTAAATATTTAAAAAACAATCAACTTCATTTTATGAGTAGTTCATATTATAATATAATGAAAATAAAATTACTTACTATCAATATACTTCACAAGTGATCTCAAGCTGTTACCATGAGCGGCAATAATAATTTTTTTACCAGCCTTTATTTGGGGAACAATTGTATCTGTCCAAAATGGCAGTGTCCGTTCTAATGTTAACTTGAGTGACTCAGCCTTTGGAAATTTATCTTTAGGTGGACCATCTTTATATCTAGGGTCATTTACAATAGTGTCATAATACTTGTGATCTGGTTCCATATTTGGTGGTGGGGTATCGTAACTTCTTCTCCATATTTTTACCTAAGACAAGAAAATTATTTGAAAATATCTTTTTAACTAATTGTCAAACAAATTATATTAAAGACGAATGAATTATTTAATCTTTTATAAACTGGTATGACCTTGGATAAATCACCAATTGAAAACTAAGAACAGGTTATTCAAGATTTTTCATGAAAAATTTAGTAAAGGAAATATATATTATTGACTAGGATTACAGTAAACAGAAAAAAAATATCACCAATAAAAATTAGAATAGAGAATATAAACAGCTTTAAGTACATAAACTATAATTACTCAGTTTAGTTAACAGTTACCTCAATTAGTTAAATACAAATTTTCAAGGGCAAATACAAATACAAATTGAAGACAGTGAAATCTTCAGTATAAAAAAAAGAAAAAAAATTATTTGACCCTCAGATTTATAACCTGGACCTTTAGATAAGAAGAACTAAAATAAGCTTTAAAGATAGGAATATGAAACTTATCTGAATAAAATCATACAATATGAAACAACTAAAATGCATTAAGCTAACATTTGTTTGCTCTGATTTGATGCAATTGTCTCGCCTAAAAGACTAAATTAAATCTCAGAATTTAATTACCTGGGCTTCACCAAACTTTTTAGCTGTTTCAGCTTTATTTAAACCTGTCAACCCTCCATAGTGTCTCTCATTTAAATGCCATGATTTGACAATTGGTATATTCGTTTGACAAAGCTCTTGTAAAATAATATCTAAAGTTCGGTTAGCTCTGGTTAGAACAGAGGTGTAAGCCAAATCAAACTGATATTCCATATTCTTCAGGGCTATAGCTCCTTCCTTAGCCTCCTTTTCACCTTTAAGTGACCAGAACCATACAAAAATTGCATTTTACAGAAAAAGACATTTTCCATAAATAATTTTGATTGTTTCAACAAACCTTTTTCGCTCAAGTTTGCATCGAACCAACCACAAAAAAGGTTTTTTTGATTCCATTCACTCTCTCCATGTCTGACCATAACAACTTTGAACTTAGTCATATTGGCTCCTGAAAACACAAATTAATTAACAAGAACACACACCGGTTGTCACCCTGTTCTTTACTGATTTCTAATCGCCAGGTTAGCCAACAACCTGACACGAGTAGAACACTGCTTCTAATCGTGATATTTATGCCATACCAAATAAGAAAAACTCACCACTCTTCAAACCACATTTATTACTCATTGTTCTGATCTTGAAAATTTTGTTTAAAGGAAACATATTTATATAGGTCTGTAATTATCAGCGGACAACTATCATTATCAACTTTAAAATCTGCGAATGGCTGAAAGAAAAAAATTCTGAACATCTAACCATATGAGTTGATTCTGATTTGCCAACATAAATCTTATTTTCTAAAGAAATAGCGTTCAAAAGACCAATTAAATATAAGTAGTGTGGCTTCAGTGCTTAAATTTATTTCACTAGGAATTCATGTGACAATCTTTGATATTAATAAAACAGAAGAAGAACATATAATATCAAAGATTATTAATTCTAATTTTCATTGTGAAAAGTTAATATAACTTTTTCCATAAGAAATGATGTTTATTTGAAATATGTCGTTTAATTATTCCCTTAAAACTACAGTGATGGCTCTACATAGACAACATTGTCAAATCAAATATATAATAGTGTAGGCTTTCTAATAAAGGAAGAACAAATATTCATGATGAAAAACGATCTAGGCGACCTACTGTCTTGAATGAAGGCACAAAAAGCTGATGAAAAAAATAGCTGAAACAGGCGCTTCACTATTGATGAACTTCATCAGATATTTCTACTATTTGAAGATCAGCAGTTTATCAAATCTTTAGTGACAAACAAAAAAATGTTTTGTAGGTTAGCGAGATGGGTGCCAAAGATGTTGACAGAGCACAAACCAAAGCTTTTGCCATGTTTTTCTTAATTTTCGTATTGCTGTGGCTCATAGGCGGATCTACGGGGGGGAAGCTTTCGGACTGAAGCCTCCCCCCCAAAATGGTAAAATGTAACCATGTTTTAGAGAAAGAAATATTAAAAACTATCTCTTAAAGTATTCTTGTTCGTGTAATTATATTTAATAGGACTTCAAGAAACACTTAAAACACCATTTCATATAGGTAATTAATTTCTTTATTTTTTTTTCAAATTTATTATCGTTATAAGTATATGAAAAAAAAATCTTTCGGGCTGAAGCCTTCCCCCCCAAAAAAAAATTAAATCCTGGATCCGCTAGTGCTGTGGCTTGAGTTGAAAGCGTTCCCAGTGTGGGGGTTTTATGATCCATTTCTTCGGGTCGCCGAGAAATGAAAAGTATCCGACCCAGGTGAGAATCGAACCCACAACAGGGCTTATTTATTTAGTTTCTAATACAATTTATGTTCATTAATATAGTTTCTATTACTCACAAAGTGGTTCTTACTTAAAAAATCTGGCGCGCGCATCACACGACTTTCACTCACTCTTCTTAACAGAAATAAGTATTTTCAAACAAAGGGGAAGTGAAAGTAAAAATTATAGACGCTATATTTATTTACATTTCATTGCGGGTATTTTTATTTGTTTAAATATTATTATATATACAAATTTTAATTTTTATATTCCTGTAATCTATGCAACTATATATTAAATAATACCAACCATAACATTTATGCAAACCGCATGTGAAAACGTGCACACTACATTTTACATATACATTACACACTACGTTGTACATAATATTGTCAGATTCCACATTATATTAAGCTCATGTTGCTTAATAATTGCAGCCTGGTCTAATCTTTCGGGCGAGCTTGGGCCCGCTCGTATTCGTTTGGTTCCTCCATTACAACTATTATCCGTTACGATCTCTTATTTCTTCTTTAGTTAATTATCAAATTATACCATATTTTATATTTAATTATTTTTTATATAAAAGATTAATGTGAAATGACCAATTACTTCAAATAAAAAAAATAAAAGGTACTTTATAGGAAGCTATTATTGAAAATTAGCCATTTAAGCCCTGTTAGAGAACACTAATGAGAATAAAACTTACATTACATTAAAAACTGCTCAATAATGCCGAATTTCATCAAAATCGTTAGAGCCTTTTACGAGAAAATCGTAAAAATGTGTAACATCGATTATATAAAGTTCTACTTCTGGTTAGCCAATTTTAACGAAAAAAAAAATGCTGCAACATCTCAGGTATCCAGAAACCTTAAATATGCAATTTCACTTTCATATAACTTTTTTTTTTTTGAGCTAGACTGGTCACCTACAACTACACACACACACAAACCATTTTGCGGGACTTGGTTATTAGGACTCAGGAGATCTCAAAACAAGTATTTCCGTTGAAAACTATCTCGATCGCAATACTGCCCCTTATTATATATTTCATATATAGGTAAGTAAAAGTAAAAATGGCCTCGTGCATTGAAACAGCCCATCCCCATTTTCACAGTAGGCTGTCAGTAGATGGAAAGCTACAGAGAATTTGAATGAAAGGTCACTGGCAGTTGAAATTGGTGAAAAGGCATTTGCCTACCGCAATCCAGCTTTTTGTCTGTCGTTACATCCATTTACTTGGGATCCCAGTTACTTGATTGCCTACTGATTCCGTACTCTACGCAGAGAGGCATAATAAATTATGATATTCACCATCATAATACTTTTCCTAACTTTATTTTTAATAGATAGGTAAATGAAAATAAAAAGGAAAGAATCTAGTTATTAAAAAAGAAAAAAAAAAACCTTATCTAAGAAGGGTTTCTTTTACTATGTTGATTTGTACTAAATTACCTATACCCTGTGGTTCGGTCCACGTTGTACATGCCTATTTTATAATTCCGTAAACACATGTACCTCTGATTAACTGAATAACCGAAATTCATGTGGAAAAAAAAGGACCATTTCAAGTGGCTGGGCCATTTCGACCTTGAAAGTACCTGTTTCTGTCATATATATATTTATTGGATTTTAGAGCCTCTTTAAAAAGATGAACTGCAATTTTAAAGGCAATTCTTCAAAAGAATTTTCTCGCAGCGACTGCCATACAGTTCTCAATCTTTAGTTGTCCTTACCAAGACTTACTTTTTCGGTACATTCGGCGATTTTCAATGCATAATCAAATGTAGACAAGGTATTCGGTACCTTAGAGAGTCGCTGGACAATGAACCTATGCTGCAAAGGTGTTATTGCCCTGAAGCCCGATAACGGCCCTGATACTCCTATGGATATTTGTATCAATGCCTCCTAATTACGTAGAACGTATGTTTTATAAGAGCTACTGTTTTGAGAGGCCAGGTAAGCACCGAGATTAAATACTGAATACACAAAATGACATTTTGCTCCGGTTATTTTTGGCACCAGCTCAATAATATATCAAGGTTACTATTCAGTTCTGTCAGTCTCCTCATTAAAAAATGAGCTCTGCTGTAAAGGAACATGATAAATATTTAATACTGCTGGGTGTATTTTGAATTTTCTTCAGATAAAAATAATGGCAATATAAACATTTTATTTCTGTTTGAAATACTCTTGTTCGGGTATGCACTAGTTAGAATCCATTCTGGTAGGTTGATTTTTATTTTGAGACCAACTAAGGTAATAATCCTCATTTTTATAGTATGGTTTGAATCCCCTTCCTGTCCTAGTATATAGGTATTAAATAGCACAATTGTCAAAAAGTTGAATGAACTAAACGAAAGAAGTCTGAGCAGGGTACATATTGATTCTATTTTCTTCCAATATTAGTTAATAATGATCCTTTGTAGTTCATACATATCTTGGCCAGATTTTATTCAAATGATTGTACATTGGCTCTTTCTGTTCCAAGGTACAGAACTAATAACAATCACCTTTTTATTCCTACCTATATGGGCTGAAGTAGGCAGGTTGTAATCATTGTTATAGTAGTTGACAGGTACTGCCCGATAGCCTGAGGTTAAATGTCATACTATTATAAGTAATATTCTTAAGCAATGGTTAACGAAACAAGTCTCCAGCCAAGTCTTTCCTGTTCTTGGAATCCTAATGTTCCTGATTCAATCGTGACCATGGGTGACAAAGATGATCCTGGCCAATGGTATTACCTATACATTCACTGTATTATATGGTATTAATCTTTAATTTAAAGCAATGAAATCTACAGGGATCCTGATGGGGCTATTATCCATACAATGGATGAAGACAATTTTTTGCTCCTAAAAAATCCTGAGGAAGATGAATCTTGTACAATCAGTATCAGAATGAATGACCCTTTGGTGCATATTACAAATATCTCTGTTGTATCTGAGGTAATTAAATATTGTTTTTGTTGCCAAAAATATTTTATCATTTTTGCCTCAGGTACAAATTTAATTATTTTTACTTTACATTAAAGGCTCAACTTTTTGAAATTTATGGAAAATATGGAGAATATATTAAAACGTGTAGGAGTGATTATTTTACTGAAGTCAACGGAATAGATATTTATGTTGGCCAATCAAGTTTACTCACATCTCATGAGATAACTATTAAAGTAAGTAGTGAATTAGAAATGAATTCCTTTTTGTTTTGTCATGCTTAACATCTTAATGCTGGAAGTGATTTGATCAAAGGGTAGATGGTAGCAGGAGACTTGACAGTGGGAATAATGATAGCATTATTTAATCAACCCTATTTTGGTTAAATTTGTCAACCATCTAGTCTTGACCCTCCAAGCCAATCACTTCCAGTGAGAACAACACCTAATTAATTACGTATTTTACTCTTATGGAAAGCTAAATCAATGAAGATTTAAATAAATGATTTTTATCTTATTATTTTGAGTAATCAATTTGGGTATTTTCATAAATCTCAACTAAGAACATTATCTAGACTGCATCTTTCAGTCATGTATAAGTGAGTGAAATATCATCCTATCTTTCATAACATATCAAATCCTGTCAAGATAGTTTATTATTATTTATTACAGAAGTAGGTTAGAGCATTATTAATTTGGATGAAGATTTATTTAGATTTATTTATACATTAAGATTTATATCTATCATGATCATTCACCATTTCTTCAGTAATGTTTATGGTTTCCAAAAAACATGGTTTTAAATTTCAAAAATAAATACTTGCCAATTAGTTTGAAAATACTCTTCTTGTTAATGAATATATACATATATGCTCAAGCTTCTGGTTAATAAGAATATTTTTGGTAATGTATGAGATGAGCAAAAAACCAGGTGGACAGATTGAATCAACAAAGATGGAATAGAACTGCATTCATATAACTGGAAAGAAATAGCCCTAGTGAGGCAGACATGGAGAAGGTACAAAAGATCTACAGGTAGGGATCACAGTAGAATGGAACTTGATTAGGAATGGGGAATCTAATCTTACTGTGATATAACATATAAAAAAACGAAAGTTCTAATGACTGAGAATTATTGATACCACTGCATTGGTAAGGGGTGGTGCTGCCAGCCGGTTCGATAAGGAATGAAAGAACAGTTGGCAAAAGTGTTCCAGCTGGTTCGATAAGGAACGCTGGAACAGTTGGCAAAAGTGTTCGAGCTGGTTCGATAAGGAACACGAACAGTTGGCAAAAACGTTCCAGTCGGTTCAATTAGAGAAATTAGTGCAGCAGTGGGAACTCCTGTTATTTAATTTTTAAAATAATTATCTTATTTTATTTATCACTTTCACTATTTTTTTATTTGAAAAATAAATTAATTTATGTAAATTTTAAATAACTATTTCTTAAATAATTCTAGATCTAAAATATTTGAACTATAATTACTAAAATCTTGTAATATTAATTACCTTAAAAACAGGAGTGCATGAATCTTTTTATATTTTTATTTTAGCATAAGTAGTATCTACATTTCTATTATTTTTTTCACACATATTCTTTAAAAAAAATATTATAATTTGAAAAATAATTGTATTATTGAGTGAAGTAAACTAGCTATCTGAAGTGTTGAAGATTGATTAACTATGTAAATTGTAAATGCATAAAAACATTACTGTTATTTATGAATACATTGTGTCTGCCCTTATGAATTATGAAACTTATTCGGCTGACCGGCCACCAAAAGCGCAGCGGAGCTGTGCTGAATCAGCTTCTAAAACCAAACCAACGGTTTTTAATGACCGGCCGGCCACCAAAAGTGGATTAGAGCTGAGCGCAATTGAGCAGCGCAGCTCTGCTCAGATTTGGGTAACTGAGGTTCAGTTTTGGAAGCTGAATCCGCATCGCTCAGCTTCCTCCACCACACCTACTTACCACTCACAACTGTGTGGCTTTGTTCCTCAGTGTCATCATTTTTTCCGCTTGTTTTTACAGCGCAACATCTCAATTTATTTTATTTTGGTTCAGTGTAAAATATGCAATGGATATAGAATTCTTAATCGAATGTGTAAGCAAAAATATTCAATTTTTCTTTTTAACTCTGACATAATAAACTGTGCTATTTTTTCAAAATGTCATACATGCTGTATATATATATTTTTTAAAAACGTTATCCGCTTGTTTTCTCTGCACAACCTCTCAAATTATTTTATTTTTGTTCAGAGAAAAATATTAGATTTTCTTTTCAACCCCGACATGATCACCTTTGCTATTTTTTTCTTAAATGTTATATATGCTGTATTTGTTTTTTAAAATTGTATACCGAACATGAGGATACCGATGCAAGGCAAGTTGTTGACTGAGCTGAGCTCTGCTACGCAAACGGTTGTTGACCCCTTCTTGCTACACTCAGCTCAGTGTTATGAATTCCGTTTCCCATTCATTTCAAAATAATTATGTTGAGCTTTTACATATAATATAAACCATTTTTTTTCCCTTTGTTCACTGCCCTCCCCCCCAATAAAAATGGAAAGTCAGCACCTATGTACCGTACCAATCATTTAGAAATGTATGAGAAGCATGAACTAATCATAATAATCATGATATATATATATACAATCAGCTTTGTGAATTCTGCTTACTATGCTTACAATCATCTTGATTGTTATCTCTAGTTTTGCTATTTCGTTCTTAAGCTGTTCAAGATACCCCTTCATATTCTTAAAAATGAGAAATTTTTCAAAAAATTTCTTATTTAGTCTATTTTTATCAATCACGACCACATGTCCATAAATTTCAATTTTTTTTTTCTCATTGAAATATAAGATGTCTTTATTATATCACATTTTGGAATAATGAATTCATGACTAATCTCAATGACCATTTATTGGGTTGTGAATTCTGGAGTAAAGGCATTGATAATTTGGAACAGCTACAACAAAACTCTGTAACGACACATCATTATAGATTGCAAGGTCTGTTATGCCAACATATAAAAAAAAAATTGAACTAGTTATTTTGTTTAGGGTTGTTAAAAGTTTTTTTTTTTTTTTACCTTTGTCTCAAATTTCTGATATGTGATGTAAAGTGAGTTTTAGTTTATTCTTTGAAATTGGAAGTTTGATCTTAATTCAAAACCCTGGAAGCTCAACAAGAGATACTCTAGATACTCTTCAAAGGCACTAGCATAGAAACTGGATTAGTTCTGGTCTCTATTGTACATCAACAAATATTTTAGAGATAAATCCAACCAATCTGTTGGTGGCATATTGAGGGGTCATTGTACACTTATTTTTTTTCTACTTTCTAGAAATGAAAAGTTCTATTATTTTACTAAATACAATTATTAATTACTTGTGGATCATGTTTCATCAAAATGTGACTAATCATTATTATAAAGCACTTTTCAACATTCACCCTCTCCCCCTTCTAAGAGGAAGCCTGTGTTATAATGATATGAGGTTATTAGAAGTTGATAATCTAAAGGAGCTTTAATCAAGTTATATTTGTGAACCAATATGGGGAAAAGTAGTAGTTAAACCAAATTGAATTCAGAACTAAATTATCATCATTACTTAGCGTGAAATAATCTTTTGCAAAAACCTTAAATAATCTGTTATGCCCTACAAAAAGACTCAATAATATTTTTGTGTCATCCAAATAAAACAGATGATTATATAATCCATATGAAAATTAGTGAATTACCACAGATACTTTTTTATAATCATAATTGGATTATGTAGACCAAGGGTGGCCACTCACTTTTAAACTTAAATAGGCCAAAACTCTTGAAAAATGTATTCATGCGATCTGGGTCTGATTAGTTTACGGACAGTCATGTTCCCCCTATTATACTATTTGACAACAAATACTACTGACAAAGAGCACTATTACTACTTATAGTCAGTTAAAATATATTAGGCCCAGTGAAGTTCAAAAATATTAAAAACTTTAGGTATATACAAAAATGAAATTTTTGTGTTAAAAATAATATCTAGGTTGGAAGGCAGGGGATCAAACTGTATTACAAACCACAATGACTAATTATATAAATATTAATAAAAATTTAGAATAAGCAGTTATTGTATGTCAGGTAACCTATGTAAACTCTCATCTAATATATTTATTTAATAGGTGCCAAGCAATATATTCAAAAGGAAAGAATCTCTTGGATTTGTTTAAGTTTCAAACTTTTTGACCTCTACTACAATCGATAAGACTTGTCTTGTCTGGCATGTTTCAAAGAATAGTTTCCAGACTGGATAATATCCTTCTATTGGTCCTGTTCATAATGAGCTTCATCTTGCAACAGTGTTCCTGTTATCAAGCGTCATATTCTTCTATGGGCTCCTAGGTTAGTGGGCTGGCTCCATCTCCACGTTTTTAAACTGCAAGATATTTTCCTACAAACCAGGGGAGCTCTTCTTTTCTGTGAATTTCATCAACATGCCCTATAAAAACTTAAATGTGGTATGGTGATGACCATGTGCTCTGCATCCATGCCAAGACTAAAGCTTGGTTTGAAATTCTCCATGCCCAATAAGTAATTATGAAACCTAAACAGTCTGAAAGGACCTAATTAACCTGCAGCCTCAATTAGACAGTGGTTATTTGCTTCTTCAGTACACTCCCTTTCAGAGTAGTTACCCACTGGCTCTATTCATGTCCTCCCAGATTATCTTCTTTCATCTACTGGGCATCCATACAAAAGTCAGGGAATTTTTTGATAATTAATTACCAAAAACGAAAATAATTAAATGAAATGTTACTCAATAAAGAGACAACAATAGAATTTAAACAAAAAAAGTAAGATACGCAAACAATTTTTTTCATTTTACTTACAATTACCACTCACAACTTAGTATATACTCTAATCCCCCAGCAGATCGTTGTATGTGTTCTATGCTTAAGGTGTAATTTAATTTTGTTTCCATTCCGTACTATCTGGACATTGTGTGGTGATCTATAGATTTTATTAAGGACATTAGGATAGAATTTTAAAAAAAAAATTTTTTTTTTGTTTTCAATTTGATATTTTTGAATATCATGACAAAAGATTTTTATTGCATTTTACCTTTTTTTCTTTCCACTTTCTTATTTTGGAGGTGAACAGGGAATTTTTATTTAAGTTAGGAAAAAGTCAGAGAATTCGAGTGACAGACACTTAAGAGCATCTATTATTAGGTTCATTCGTAATCCTCACCTGAAGGTTTTGCGGGTGCTAACCGAACTTCTATACCTGTATTTGATCCCCAAAACAACCAGCTATGTTCCTTATCAATACCAGTTGAATTCAGTATCTTGCCTTAACATTCAGCGAAAAGACCTACATCAATTAATAATTATTCTGACAGTCTCAGCAACTGCATATAAACATCTAAAACTAATTGATCAAAATAAAGCTCTGACACATTTCTTTTAAAATGATATCACTAATACACATCAACAAAAATTATTTTTTCCGATGGGTGCCATGACACATAGGAATATCAGAAACAAATCTATAGACAAAATAGCAAATCGAAACCAGCTACATCGGATAAATGCTAAGGTTCCATTCCTGGACTAGAGTAGTGAAGAGGAAAATAATGAAAGACTGGCAACATTTCTACAATTGGGAATGTGCTTCGAAAGATAAGTGCCATCAAACAGTTGAACAGAAGATAGGCTCCATTGTTTGCGACTCTTAAATTTCATCTGGACTGTTGCAGCTTAGTTAAGCCGACCAGACTAAGGATAAATCATGGTAGAACAAATTTCTACATGTGATGGGTGTAGCCAAGCTGGTTTCTGTCCAACAAATCAATGCCTGCCTGGATGATCTGAGACACATTGCCTTCAAGTGTAAAAGATTCGAGAAACAAACTGAAATATGTTTAGGGTTGCAAGTTATGTATGACGATGTTAACTTTCTTTGATCAATAAATAAAGATAACATGCATAGTTTAGAAAACGATATAAAAGCGCTTATATAATAAAAGTTTCCTTTTATTATCATTTGATTTTTATAAAACTACTGTTACTTCAGTTTTAAATTATCAGTCATTCGAGTTCTATGTAAGTTGTGAGTGTTATTCAATAATCATTGAACAGTTCATGTCCAGTTAAATATTATCTTACAGTGACAATTAAAGTAATATATTGGCAAAATAGGACTTGGTTTGACAAGTCTTAAAGCCAAAAACATTTTTTTTGCAAAAGGACTTGAACACATCCTTTCCACTCATTTGATTTTCCTGTATTTATAACAAAACTAGAATATATAAACAAATATGATTTTAAAAAAATATTCTGTAGGTATGAGGCACATTAATATTTATCATAGTATTACAGCTACGAACGGATGTTCATTTGAGAGTCGAAGAATTTATATACCTTGGCTCCTTAATAACTCAGAATAACGACACAGGAAAGAACATCCAAAGAAGAATAATGCTAACAAATGTTAATTCGGACTAGTCAGACTGATGAAAAGTAAATTATTGTCTCGCACAACTAAATTACGTTTGTACAAAACCCTGACTAGGTCACTGCTGAAATATGGATCTGAATGCTCGACTTTATCCAAAGCCCAGGAAAATCAACTCCTCCTATTTGAAAGAAAGGTATTAAGAAGAATTCTCGGAGGGACTTTTGATGCCCATGAGCTAGCCTGGCGGATCAGGACAAACGCCGAAATATCTGAACTGTACAAGGACTGCAATGCAGTGCGCTTCAACAGGGTTGGCCGGCTCAGGTTAGCTGGGCATGTGGCCAGGATGAATGCCGACTCAATACCAAAGAGGTTCCTTAAAGAAGAAATTCACACCCACCAGAAGGTGAGGGCGAATAAGGATGCACGTACCATTCTGGGGATCCGGGACTGAAGATTGGCTTCTCGGAATCAAGAATAATAGCGGACATTACTTCAGGCAGCAATGACCCCTTGCGGGTTGTAGAGCCATGGAAGAAGACGAATAGTATTACAGCTGTTCACCTTCTTGTATATTTGTGACTCTGCAAAAGCTCAATTGGAAATTTAATGTTATTTCCATTCAATTTAATTTGCAAACACTTAATATAAAAAATAACCATAATTTGTTTATATGTTGTAAACATATAAAATTAAAAAAGTGGAAGTAATGAACAGTTTAACTTGATTATGGTAGCAACAACAGAAATACGCCTTTAAGTCTGATTACCACTTCATTGTAAAATTTCATTTATAAAGCAACAACTTTATTATTCTTAGTTGTGTATTTAGATAATCTAGAACTTCAAATTATTTCTAGCCTACAAGTATTTTTTATTAAATATATCCATTGTTAGATTTAAGCCTGTCATGAGAATTACAGCCAACACTTTTAATAAAAACGTAATTGCTCTGTTCATCTTATATGGTAAATCCTTGTCTATAGTTAAGGTTAAGTTAAGATATTGAGCAACATATTATTTATTTACTGGCAACATATAAAAGCATGGCGTCTTAATAAAAAACAGTCCTTGAAATGTATAATTTTAATTATAAAATATGTACATAACATACTATTGATTACATATATAATATATTCAAAATAACAGCTTTCCTAAAATTTAAAATATTTAACATCACTGATTACTTTATCATAATTATTAAAAACTTTGGAACTTTCATATAACAAAATTACTCCTGCAGTACTTTGCTGTAGAATAAATCTTTTACTGTTCACATTCTTCTTTTTGATAGGTTTTAGATTTTTCTTTGTCATATTTATACTGCTTTGACTGCACAAGTTCATAAAAAATTTGTAATAAATTAAGAACTTTTAGAAAATTAAAGGCATATATATACAATTTATCAAAGTCATCCAGATAATTTTTTTTGGGTAGATTTTGTAGATTAAGTAGACTGAGATTTAGGATAAAATTAATGACAACGTTCACCTATAAGTTAGCAAATTCAAACTATCTTTTAAAATAAAATGCGCAGATGTTTGAAATGAAGTGAACAGAATCAAGTCCTTATGCTCTCTATTTAATCCTGTAAAAATCATTTTGTTATTAAATTAAAACATATTTACTAATATGTTTAACAAGTACAATATTTAGAGTTCTAGCGAAATTATATAAAATGCATAATATGCAGAAAAGAAAACGTTAACCTCAATTTAAAAAACTAATTTTTTCCTATACTGAGAAGTTATTGATTTGACACATTTCAAAGAACTAGAAGAACTTTATGTGGTAATTGTGTACTTGTACTTAATTGTATACTTAATAGTTAGATTTCAAATAGTCTTCATATATTATATATTTATGTACAGAGTTAGAATGTCAATTTTTAAAATAGATGCCACTTTTAAAAATTATTGGATAAATAATGTCAGCTTTTTTGTTTTAGTTCCCAGGATTGAAGAGAGAATTTTGGTTGTATGGAGTTAAATTGATAGTGCAAAAAATTTCATTACAATCATGTACATTTGATTATAACCTGATTGATGAAAAGCTCCAATCTTCAAATGTTGCTATAACTGAAAAGGCTGAGAAATTTAAGAAGTTTTTACAGGAATATGCTGCGAATAAGTACACCACAACAGGCATGGATCCCCAAATGTTGTTAAAATTCATGGAAGGAGGATGTATAGGAAATTTAAAACTGGATAGGGAAACTAATAAAAGTATATCTGATTATTTGTCGGGTCGCATATCTTCATCTTTAAAAAATCAAGACAGTAATGGATCACAAAATAAAAATTCTCATTATGATGTGAATTCTAGCTCTGAAGATCCAAATTTCTCGACTTTTAAAAATTATGTTGATGAAAGTCTACAGAAAATGGAGGACAAATTACAACAGAACTTTCAAAAACAGATAAAAGAACTAGAAGAAAAACAAAATGAAAAACTAGATACGATACTGGATCTTTTACGAAATTCTGCTCTGAGATAAATTTACTATAATATATGTTTTATCAAAATATCATGTACAAATAATACAGTATTTAATTAATAACTTATAAATAATTTCTTGTTTATTGTAACATGAGTGCTGATTTAAACAAAAATAGTTTTTGAGGAACAGAATAATAAAACATATTCTTAAAACATTATGGAACAAACCAGAGGGATTAGTTATTGCACAAAATATACAATATTATATATACCAAGTATATATTAGGTACATTTGAATCAATTTTATAAATTAAGGGTTTAACTTCCCAGTCATTATCTAAAAAATACACTACAAAATCATCCTTATTAAAACAGAAAAAAAAAATTTAGTCCAAAATAATAAGATTATATTAATTAGTGTTTACAATTGTATAAGTTCAACAGTCTAAATCTATAAAAATATTTAAACTATTTATATTACAGGTGAAAAAATATCTACCCTATTCAATAAGTATACATTACTTTAAGTATATTTAAGATATTTCTTAAAGAAATTATTTTAATAAAATGTGAAAGCCCCAAATAGGCCAAATTATTGTCATACCATGTTACATGATAGTTAAGTCCACCACACAGTAGACCTTTAAATTAAACTGTCCTTCAAGGCAATTTTTCTTCAAGAGGTAAAGGTGTGCATCCCTGGTCATCGTCATCGTCATCATCATCATGAGGTTGGTTTGATTGCCTTGATCCACGCTCTACTGCAATCCAAGATTTTTTCCTGTCTTGGCGCTTCTTGTCCTGTACTGGAGTATTTGGTAGAGATCCTTCTGTACTTGAGGTATCTGATAAATCACTAGATCCCTCAAGGCTGAAAATTCATTATAATTTCTCTGAGGTTATGGTAAATTTAAACTAAGAAAATGATGTAGGCATCAAACAATAAAAGCAACTCATTGAAGATATAAAATGCAATAAAGTTCATAACTCCTTATAAGCTAATACTGCTAAGATCTCAAAATTTCTCTAAGGGCAGAAGACTAACAAGTCTTGAAATAATTTAAAAAAGTAGTGGGTTAATCTGTACTTCTTCAACAAATTTCAAATTCATATATGAATTACTTAATTTTATTTTTTTAAATCTATCAACTACTTAGAGAAATGTATCTAAAGTTCTAAATAAAAACAAACAAAATTTACAATTGATGAATGGTCAAGTCAAGTGGATAAAGGTGATAAGCAACACATAAGAAAATTGAATTTAAAGTTAAAAGGTGGACATTTTTTTTAATAATCTGATATATAATTTCTAATAACTGTATGGAGAAACAAGAGGTAAATTTTGATAAAAAAAAAACTTAAATTTTTATATAAGCTATAACAGGATGTGTTCAAAAAGTAAGTGAAATTTTATATTTTGCAGATTGTATTGTTGAGAACTTACATTAAGTAAAAATCACATATTATTCTGACTCACTCCCCTCTCATGTTCCTATGTTATTGTATTTGTATTAATAGTTCTTTCAGTTTAAGACTTTCATCTCATTCGGATGCCTTTAAATTCTTTTGATGATTTATATTTAGGTCTTGAACTTTGTATTGCAAGTTAATTTGGCTCTTATCAGTAAAACTTTCTTGAATGCAGTTATTTTAGAGTATCTTTCTTTCTATTCAAAACTCCCAATCTCATCTACACTTGTCTATTTTAAATTTCCAAATATCATGATTTCATTTCCCATATGTTTTCACCTTATATCAACTAGAAACTATTTTTGACTTGTATGTATTATGTCTTAATATTTATTAGGCATATAAATATTTCATTTTTTTTTCTAATATTTTCAATAATTCCACTTGATTTGGATTTTTTAAAAATGCTAGTATTTTTTATGTTATAAAAGCTAAATCTAAAATTATTTTATCTCTCCTCATCATTTTTTATTTTAAAAACACTGAACAAAACAAAACATCAATAGTAACTTATTAAAAAGTTTACATTGAATTGTTAAACAGACCGGAATTAGAATGACGGAATTAGTAATTTAACTAAGAGGAAAATTGTCAATTGATAAATGAAGTTCACTATAATCTTAATCCGTTACAGAGAAAACTTGTATCCTCACTTAATACCTACATTCTGAGTCAAATATTGAATCACGTAATTGGAAGAAAAAATATAAGTTTAAAGTAAGTTAAAGTTTCTTTAAAAATGTCACTCATCATCCTTATTCACTAGACCTGGGGTCTCCAAACTTTTTGGTCAGTGGGTTATATCGAGGCCTCAACTAAGTCACGGGGGTTATCATGGCATGTGATGATTAAAAAAAAGTTTAAGAGAAATAATTCATACAAAAAATGTTGTAGTAACCTGGTATTTGAATGATTAACTAAATTTAATATTTTATAAATAGCTTTTAAAACATTATTACATCATCAAAGAAACATCTGCGGGCTGAATTGGAGGTGCTTGCAGGCCGTAGTTTGGAGACCTTTGCACAAGACCCTTCACTTATAATGTTTGTTATTATGTTTTATTAGTATTTTTTTTTTTAACTTCCATTAAATTAGAAAAATATTGATCAATTACTGCTTCTGAAAGTATCTAGGCAAGGAGCTAACCGAAAATTATACAGTTCACCTAATTACCAAATCAAACCAGCCTCCAAATATTATCTGGGTTTTCATCATACAATGGACTTGACTACGACTGCCAATGCTGCTAACATGAAAAATAAGGAGCTATTAACATGTTCAGATTCACGAGGCCAAATTTCCTGGGTAGGAGCCGTAATAAATGTATTATATTTACCCAAACAAACAAGTTCAAATGTGCCTTAATGGAGTTGTTTCTGTAGGGGCAGGGGTATTGTCTTACAACAATACCATCCATATGTTTTTAATTGCTCTCTAGAGCAACAACTTAGACTAATGATATTCTTAATTTAAATAATATAATATTATAGGGAATAAAGGATCGATATGGAACTCTTGGGCCAACCAAACACAAAAAAAGTTATTTAAGGAATTTACCCCAATGTAATGCCACTAAGTTGCTTTTGTTAGATAGAAGCAGCTTTACTAAATCTTTGGTCTTCCAGTTTTGTCCAGTTCCTGCAGCCTTTCATAAATTTTAAAGCCTTCTGCTTAGTATACAAATTAAAATATTGTTAAAAAAAAACAAACAGATTTTATCCCTTAAGGTATTCATCATAAAAAAAATGATTCCAAGACTAATGTAGACAGAAATACTTTGCACAAGATGAGTGACACATTTAAGTTTCCTAGGATTTAGGGAAGATGGGATGGCAGCCACTATAAAAACTTTATGCATGTAAGTTACTGAAAAACAGCTGTCCAAAATATAGAATGGTGAAAGTTCATAAAGAATAACAAGACCTTCACATGATTTGCAGATTAAAATAATAATAATCTGCTTAATATACAGTAGGATTCTTTTTCCACCTGGAGAAGTAACAAGTATCAATTTTGATTCTTAAATTAGCATAAAGTCGTAAAAACTTAATAAGTTCCCAGATTGAAATGGTACAAGTCCCATTTTAAAGATTTTGAGGCAGATATCAAGACGTGGCCGGAACCCTCCCACCCTATATACCCCGTTCTGTATGATAAAACCTTAATTAGTTTTCGAGACAGATATGTATAACTTTTACCGATAGTCTCTTAGATGGCATGGAATATTTACCACAAGTTGTTCAGATTTTTGACATTTAAAATATCGCTATTTATTACTGTCTACAGCAAACTTAAGATCTATTGAAAAAGTAAATCACAAAAAACAGCATTGAGACCCGTTTGGTTCCTTGTATAATGTAGAAAGAAACAGCTTTTTGATACTTCTAATAAAAATAAATATGTTTTCTGGACACATTATTTTTTTTTTCTTGAAAGTTCTTCCCCAGGTCTGGCTTCTATATTTCACTTTTAATAAATGAGGAAATTAAAAATCAAGGATCCTACTCTATAGGTATGAATATGAACTCAATAGGTCTCAGCAAGTACAGTACATGCCCAGTATAACGGTTATACTATAACCTTACAAATAGCTGAGTCTTTTTTTGCTCAACTATGAAGCTCAACGGATATTAACAATAGTGCAAACTAATTATGTATTAAATAAATTTTTATTCAAACAGAGTCAATATAAAATATATAACTTCATAAATTTTGTTTGAGCAGGCTTTAAGGATATTGTTTTTTTGAAATATTATAAATTGTTAATATGAATGAAAATGTTTCCTTAATCTCGCTTATATTCAAATGTATTAGTCAGATGCATAGATATCTGATGTGGGAGTTCTCGCTTGGGTGTATCAGTAATAATAGTAATACTAAGGTTTATTTAACACAAATATCAATATATAATAAATTATTCCTTACAAAATAACTGGCACAAAACTTTTAATGACAAAACATTAATTTAATTATCTTCACAGATGCATCATTTTATAAATTGTACCAGGATTAATGCATTCAAATCAAGAAAATAAACTACATATGAGAAAAAAAATATTCAAACCCTTTACTGGGTCTTATCCAATTACTTGTCTTAATTCTTATTTACTAGATCTATAACATCACTTAAACATTAAGATCCTAGCAGTATACTTCTTTCATAATTAAAATTTATTTTAAACGTCTATTTACATTACTATCCAGATGAATTGTCTAAAAAACCAAATTTTAAATTCTATAAAAAACATAACTATACCATGCAGGGTTTCCACCACCTTCTGAAGGAGGATCCCAAAAATGAAGCCTTTGTCTCCAAACTTTGATTAGACCATCCCATGCACGCCGACTAAATTTTAGATGTAATGGTGGTGTTCTGGGGTGCATTTTTTTTCTTGCTTCCCTAAAAAAAACATACAAAAATTAGAGTACCGAAAGGAATTAGCACTATTATAATTGATATTATAATACATTTTAAAATTTAAAAAAAAAACAACAACATACTTTTAACCTTTTTAATTTCTATATCATATAAAAGGTGTATATAAGTAATGATTTAAAAAAAACTATAGAACTAAGGACGACACTTTTGTTGTACTTTTCAGACATCTAGAAGAGGCTAAATCTTAATAAAATAAATATAGTATTATTGAAGAAAGTTAGTCAACTGTTCTACATATCATGGGTGATAAATATTCAGGACGCAGTCATTATAAGGTTTTTCTTAGTGCCGATGTTTCAACCTAAACATGTGTGTAATCATCAGGGCGTGGTTGGAGCACTGAAGATATTCAAGTACTTCATCTTGACTTAAGTACTTGAATATCTTCAGTACTCGAACCACGCCCTCATAATGACCCACATGTTTGGGTTGAAACGTCAGAACTAATAAAAATCTTATAATGACTGCGTCCTGAATATTTATCACCCATGATGAATATAGTATATTCATAAAATGCAATCGACAGATTTTTATTATTATGTTCCTAAATTATTAATAAAATCAAATTGATTTCTAAAAGGTTTTCAATAGTCACTAATGTTTAAGGTAATAGAAAACCCATAAATCTATTTGTTAGGCACTTTCAGAAACACTTTCCATGAGTGATGCTTTCTATAATCTTCATAATCTATTATGGTTAATCAAAATGCATCATAATAACTTGAAAATTATTATTTCAGAGAATTAAAATCATATATGTACAGTTAGAATTAAGAATTCGAATCACGAAAAAGTTTTATGGAATTAAAATAATAAGTATGAGAATACAATTAATAAGAAAAAAAAAATGAAAGAATTAATGAAAGTTTAATAAAAACAAAATAAAGTCTTCCTATTAAATATAAATTGTTGCAGAGATACCTTTTAAAAATGGGGAGCACATTAAGATCAACAATTAAATTACAGATGAGATTATATTTATTAACTGCATCATTTGGCCAAAACAAAATAAGATTTACAATGATTACATCAATTTTATTAACAAGAAAAAACAAAAAAAATTTATAATTATAGTTTTTTAGTCGACTCCTGAGACTGATAAAGTCAATTTTATTTAGCACTATGTAAGGGTTGAGGCAAAAATCATAGTCCAAACCAGATTAATCATAAATAGACCAATAACATGGCTTTTAATCACTTATATAAGTAGCACTAAAAATAAGTAAGATAACATTTATATTTAAAACCTTACTTTGGAACCAACTGCCGATATCTGTCATACCCAATAGTATTTTTACCATAGTCAATTTGCTTCTGCCTTCTAGCCAAAACATCTGGATCAGTTTCTATTTCTCGGGGTGTTTTTTTTTCTGAGCTTCTGTAAAACATAAACAATATGTTGTAAAAATACAAAGCCTTATTAAGTAATTTTTATCATTACAGATAAATGAAATATTTCCTTAATGCAATTTTAAATGCAAAAATATTTTTGTATCAGACCTCATAGTTAGCAATTTTTCTTAAAGATATATCAATCACCTAATATCATTACAGATATCAAAAAAATATACAAGTAACAATATTAATATAAAGTATAAAAAGATAGGACATGAATATTAATATTACTTAGAATATAGCAGAACAGAAAAATTAAGAAAGAATTAGATTCCTTAGTGAGCAGGGTCTGCATACGTATATAATAAAAATGGTTGAAAAAATGTATGTTGAACTTTCAAATACAAAATTTCTATATATCAAACTTAAGAGCCATGAATTTTATAATAAAAATATTCATAAAAGCAAATAAAATCACTATGTATCAAATAAAACGTAATACTAAAAAGATATATAATGTAATTTTCATCAAAATTAGTTTACATTCATCAGAATGAGTACTCATTAAATAAAAAACATTCACAGTTTCACAAAGTAATGACCATTCGGAGAATACCTAAAGAGTAAACAATTAAGGGATCCGTGGGCATAACATAGGGTGAAATTTTCAATATAATTTTGTCATTAACTGAAGTAGGATCAAGAAAAAATATGGTTCCTAGATTCAGCGTAGAGCTCATTGATGGCATAGGAGAAGATGAAGAAATGATTTAATCTTCATAGTGTGATAAAATTAATAATGGGGCATTGAAACTTAATAAAAGCCTTAACCCATTTCATGCCATTGGTGCAATAGTTGTGTTGGGTTGGAGTTTCATGGATGGCAGCTTCTGCAAGTAATTCATCTGAATGTATTGATTTAAAAATAATAGAGATATAGAAAATTAATACCATTAATATTCTTTACCCACATAAATCTCTTTACAGGGCATCATCAAAACCTAAATGATCAAATCTAACAAAATCCTTTGACTTGATTACTACCAACTCTTTAAACATTCAACTGTTGGTTCAGGGATAAACAACGCATGAATAATTTGTTCCTTGTAAGCACAATTAGTACAATAATGCATGTTGTCGGGCACATGTCCAGCAACACCATGTTACGCATTCTTAAGATTTTCCTAGTTATCTTTAAATTTAAATTAATGGCAGTTCTAGAAGGTAGAATGAGAAAAAAGACAGGTGTCAGATGGAGAGATGTGGCGGGCCGAGGGATGACAGAAGAGAAAGCGACTGAGGGCAACTTCAAGAAATTATCTCAAGATAAAAACAATAATAAACATAAAATTCCAAACTTAATTTATTGCTGACTTGTGATTGGGAAAGATTTAATGATAAATAACAGGAAAATTAATAGTTTAAAAGCAAGAATGAAGCAGGATATTTGAAACAACATTAACTGGGATTCCTTAAAACTGGCAGATTAATGGGAAATAAGTATATTATGAACTTATAAATACACAAACCTTTTTCCAGGTGTTATTTCTCGACTCCTTTTACGATTAAGTAGTTTATCACTTGGTGTTTTCATTGGAGTGTTTTGTCTCCTAATTTTACTAGGACTAGGCATAAGCATCTCATCACTGATTTCATTACTACCACCATCTGTCTGCAGTTTCCTTTTGATAACCTTTGTATCAGAGCTTGAATCTTTTTTATCTGATCTTAAGAAATAAGATATAGAATTTTTGGATGGAGTTTTAGTAGGCGTTTTAGGTTCAGTTTTACAAGGGCTAACAAGCTGGAAACCATTCAAGTGGCTAGTCAAACTTAAATCTTCTTGGAGAAAATCCTTAGGCTGTCCACCTTTATTGACTTTATTTTCCTTTACAGATGAGGGTGAAGCAGGTTCAGTTTTGACATACGATAGAGAAAAGTTTGGCAGAAGTTCATTAGGTTCAATTTTTATAGCTCTCGCCCCATTTAAAGGAATATCACAAGCATTTTCATCAAGAGGTTCTTCCTTGATTTTGACAGAACCTCCCTTAAAATTAGTAGAATCCCTCAGTAAGGGGCTGTTACTAGATTTGGCTAATCTATCTTCTTCTTCAGCCATTATGTCTGCCCAACTTTTATTACAAACACTCTGGTTCCAAAGGCTATCATCATTAGATACATCTGTTGTAGCCATCTTAAACAAAATATAAAAACTGAAACAAAACAGAAAAAAAGCTATGAAAAATAGTGTTTTTCAAAAAATATCTAAACTTTAATAACACAAAAAGTTACTGCAATCAAGCAGCCATGCAACAAGCATTCTTACCGGTTTAAACTATGAAATTGAAGGTTAAAAGTACTTACGACTATTAAAAAATATATTTCATATATACCAGTGAAGAACGTTAGCACAAATAAAACACAAATTTATATTGTTCCAATGCATGTAAACACACTACACAAACATCACGATACCTGTACTTAACAACATTCCCTCCTCAATGCTATTTTTTCCCGCGAGAACTAAGCTACCCGTTGCCATCTAGATTAACTTGATAAAGCAATAATTGAAATATAATTCTTTAATATGAATTACAAAATAATTATTTATTTTTATTATTATTCTTAAGTTATTTAGTATAAAACAACACAAATTTAAGTATTCCTATAAATCAAGGATGAAAATTTAATTATACGAATAATTCTGTTCAAATATGGGTTCCCGGGTTTTTCCTAATTGGTGAATTATAAACTCGTTTTTAATTGTATGCTGATGTTTCAGCTCCATCAGTGTTACTTTTTGTAAGTAATTTTTATATTAAACAATATATGCTATTCTAATTGAAATCATCGCTATCTAATTCAAACTCTTTTATATAAATTTAAAACATTTTTTAAGTAAATTATTTCGTTGCTGTTATGGTTTAGCGTATGGTAGTTATTTACTTACATTTACATTGCTTTAACCCCATGATACTGTGTACACGAAATATAAAAAAACAGCACTGATTCCGTTTTTGAAGAAACAAACAAAAAAGAACTCTTATATCTTCTGGCTTATCGCTTCCTCATATTTAATAAAAATGTTCAAATAATGTACTGTTCACTTAATTGAATAACTTACACGGCCACACTTCATTAATTAATTGAATTTATTGTTTCTTATTTCTATGATTTTTTTCATTCAAAAAGATAAACCTCCTGAGTGGTCCTTAAATATAAATCTCACCTGGATCTGATGAAAACTTCTCAATTTTCTATCTCGATAAGTATAATGGTTTAGTTTATAGTATATATTTCAATATCTATTTTTTATTTTATTTAAAAATAAATAAAGCAGACATTTGCGCTAAGAAGGTACATTCAATAGGCTATTTGTTATATAAATATTTTAAAAAATGGTGAAGCTCATTTAAAATTAATACTTTATGGAACGGCTTACAGTCAATGGGTCACCGATTTCAACAAAATTAGTTTCGGTGATACTACATAGAAAAATATTTAAAGAACACATGTCCCGGCGTTCATTCCAATGAGCCCTAAGAGCCGAGAACTTTGTTTAAAATATTACTTCAAATAGACTTTATGTTATTTATTTTTGCCTTTGCTTTGCCGGATTTTTAGGTTACAATATATCAATCGATTTTGTGTGTGATGACTTTAGAACGGCTCTACCGATTAAAGTTGAATTTGAAGAAAATCCTGAGGTTATAAATGCTTTAGTTGATGCTCAAAAAAAAAGGTCATTCAGGAAAATCAAGTACTAAAGGTTATATTATTTTATTTATATAAGAATTCGTATTTAAGAGTTTTATAAAGTGCTATAAAAACTAATCTAAGTAGCTTTTTTTTAAATAAAAATTTACTTGGCTGACTTTACTGGAAGCGTCTTTTGGTTTTATAATTTGTGATACATTGTAATCTATTTAATACAATACACGGTGGGCCAGACCCCTCTACCGTGCACCCCTCCCCTCTCCACATCCCTATAAATTGCATATCATTGTGTTCCTTTTAACTATTTATTAAAAGAAAGCCAATGTTCCCACAAAAAAAGTGAACACACTGCCCTAAAATGGCGTCCAAACATGGCGGATTGACGGCTTTGACTTTAGTTAGTTTTCTGGTCACCGAGAATCAGCTTTAGGCTTAATTTCGTCATAGTTGGTCTTTTATAAAAGCTGGATGGTCAGAGAATAATTACACATAAAAAAATATTAAAAACTAATTGGCTTAGGCAATAAAAACACCAGTAAAGTAAATTTTTTTAACAAAAACTTTTCTAGTTGAAAATCAAGCGCCGTTTGCAACTAAACGGAAAAAAACAACGAAAAAGGTGCTGAAATGAAACATCTGAATTACATATCTGTTTCTAAAACACTGACTACCTTTTAAAATATTTGAAGCAGTTCCGTAGAAAATGCACTAAAACAGCATGAAAGTGGTAGTGGCGTAGATGCTTACAGGCCTCTACCAAACCATTCAGTACTCATAAATGGCTTAGTTATAGTGCTATAATAACGTTTTTGTTATATTATATTGATTGTATTAACGAACAAATATTAATGAAATAATTTAATTGTCAAAAAAAATTAAAATATATTTTTTAAATTTATTATTTATTTATTTAAAAAAATTAATTTCCTTTATTCTATAGGAAAGTCGTTTAAGAAGGCCACTATTATAAAAATGATATAATTATAATAATAAAACTAATATTCAGCAGAGTATTTTTAAATTATCAAATATTTTGCTTCTGCACTAACGTAGGGAAGCATTGTAATTCGTGCGAGAGGTAAAAAAAAAATTTGTGCTCAGAATCGAAAATTTTCACTTGCGGTTCACGTTTCAGACATCAAGGATCAAATTGGGTTCGGTGTCTGTCTGTCTGTAGTCAAATCGATGTAACGGGCATATCACCTAGTACCGTTTATCCGATTTTCAAGAATTTTTCAGGAATTGTGCGGGCTGGTGTCTAGATAGTCCCATATAAATTTTATTAAATTCTAACCAGCACTTCCGCTTACGCTCGCGCAAACGCATTATTGTAGATATGCCAATATTTCAGAAACTGCTAGTTCGATTTGGCTCAAAGTTGGATAAAAGGTAGGTATTTGTGAAAAAATAAATTAGGGTCAATTTTATTGAATTCTATCCGTTCCTTTCTCTTATATATGCGCAAACGTGTTTTGCTTGATACTTCTATATGTCTAAAACCGCAAATTCGATTTGGCTCAAATTTTGAGGGAATATAGAGATTTGGAGAGAATTTAGAGATTGGCAAACGTAAAATGAAATAGGCATCAATTTTATCAAATTCTATCTACTGCTCAAAAAAAAAACAAATAAAAAAACTTCCGCTTTCAGATCAGGAAATGTGTTATTTGATATTCCTATAGTTTGAAAACGAGGCATTCGATTTGAGCCAAACTTGGAGGAAATTTGGAGAACAATATAGAAATTACTTAGTATCAATTTCATTGAATTCCATTTAATAATTAAAATTAATATAAATAATTGTTAACAATATAATGGTTGCGAAATGTTGAAGGCACTGATCATATGGACTGGGAGTGAGGTTATTACAATATTGTTATGGGGTTATAAAATTTTATGTTTTGTTAAAAAAATTAATTGATACTGTATTGTTTGGTCGATTCCAAACTTTACTGGCATGACACTTACTGCCGTTACTTAGATTTCGTGTAATTTTCAATACATTCAAAGTAATTTACACTCTGAGTTTTAAAAAAAAAGTCTGATTTGTGATTGTGTTTATTTCCATTGAAGTTCAACTAGTTCGTCTTGGTCTCGATTTCTTCCTTAAAAATCGATGTTATCTGAACTTCACCAATATTTTTATATTTTCTAGCTAAAAGCGTTATGTTCTGACTGAAGGAAAGTATTGCTCTCATTAACTCCGAACAAACAACAAGTTGAATTTTTCCTTTGAATTTTCTAGTTTCATCCATTTTACGAGTGAAAGTATATATCACTACTATTAGTACAAAAGGTCGTATGTAAACATTTTCAACTTTTTTTCTATTAGTGCTAAAGTTGGCATTTTGTAGTCTGCAACTGACATATTCTGCTACTATGGAAAGTAGCAGATGACAATAAAATATGAAATTATTCCAGTAAAGCATAAGGAAATAATGAGTTTTATGCACTGTAGCAAAACAATCAATTTTTACATAAGACCTTTTGCACTAGCAGTAGTGAAATTCATGTTCAGTATTCATTTTTTAAATTAAGGATAATCAAATATGGAATCTTCAAATATGGCACTCTTTCCCATTTTAATATTAAATGATAAACGAAATTCATGGATATCAAACCCGCGAATGTTGAAGGATAACTGTATTTCCGAATCGGCTTCTCCCAAAGATTTTATTCTCATATATATTGAATACCTTGTAATATTTTAATATTTTAGCCAATGAAAACGGTGAGCATTAATAATAAATTAATGCAGGGCGGTCCCTCCACGCCCAGTGGTATAATAAAAGGCCTCTGGCCACAGACGGCGAAAAAACGGCGAGGAAGCTATACTGACCTTACTTGGCAGACGTTGTTAATTCACATGCAAAATTACTTCAATTAAGTCGTCACCAGCCGAAGTTACCCGAACGTTACACATCGGAGATCTGACTTAATCTAATTCTCTCTCCCCAAAAAAGTGCAAAACATGCCTTAAGAAGTTTTCACTTCAAAAACCAGTTCAATAGATGGTTAAATAAATATAATAAATAATTAGATATCATTTACATGTACGAAGGGTTTGAAGAAAATGGAACGCATCTTGACTTATCTCTTTTCAATATATTCTGTCATCAATCAAAATAAACATAATTAAATTTATTTTTATTATTTTAAACAATTTCAACCTTTCTTCATTTGTTTGGATAAAAAAAAAGATTATCTACTTCTTTGTTTAATTTTTTAAGAACTTTTAATTTTTAATAGGTTATTTGGTAATTTACACTTTTAAAATATTTTGTACTTTTAATATTTTTGTATCCATTTTTTTTACATTTAATCAATAATTAAAGTTTTCAAAAGGCCTCAGTTCTTCTTCATTAAAACATGTTTTTGACAAGATGTTTTATTCTAGAATATTTAATGCTATTTTCAAATATTCTAAGATAAAACGGTCATAAAAAAAAAAATCTTATAAAACTATGTAGTATAATATTTCATGATCATATCATATTATAAATTTAGTTGCTTACTTTATTCCACTTTTTATCATTATTACTTTGTCTTTTAATTATCTTGGTAAAAATAATTTTCCTGAAAATTTCTTTATTATGTGATAATAATTTAATTTATTTTTATTTGTTTTATAAATCCATCATTTCATTAAAACGTTATTTGGACCAACTTAAATTTTATCATTGCTGTAATTTCTGTAATTTTTTTTTTTTTTTTTTTTTTTTTTGAAAAACACAAAAATATTTTTTAAAGCTAACGGAACAATATAAAAATTTCGATTTTATATATACGGATGCATCCAAAGAAGGAGGTAGCGTAG